AGGGAAATTATAACGTCGCCTTGTCCTGTGATTAATTGTAATGAAAACCATCATTAGCTGCAAAGGAAACACTGTCTCTAACGATGTTTCACTTCCACCAGGGAACCGTCATCATCATCGCGAATCACGGCGACCGGATCGATATTCCCGCCGGGGCGATGCTGGAGAACAAGATCGTCTCAGGAAACCTGCGCATCCTCGACCACTGAGGCCTTCTGGGAAAAAAAAAACAAACCAAAGCCATTTGCACCTTGAAGAGACTCTTGAGTGAAGAACGACCTGTTACAGAGACAATCAGCTTGTTGGTGTCCATTTCAATGTGAAGTCAGCCTGAAAGGGTCAAAGGTCAACCACCTCCTCCTCCTCGTTCTTCCTCCTGACGCACTTTGCTGCTTTTCAGGAAGAAACTCGCTGTTACTGCAAACAATCGCTGCAAAGTCTGAGCCGACTCCGGCCCGACTGCGGCCCAACTGCGGCTAACTCACTGTCTCATGTCAATAAAAAAAAAACACATGTCATCTGAGCATCATGTGATTTTTGTTGTGCATTAGTTTTTATTTTATTTTATTTGTGCTGAACACATTCAGAAAATGTTATTTTGCCTTTAAAAGAATTTGAAATTCAAGTTTTGATGATTTCTTTCAGGTTAGGTTTCACACGTCTCTCGTGACGGCGGCGTTGTCGATAAAGTTTGGAACAACGGCCACGAAGCTGAAAACCTGCGGAAGATAAACAGACGGAGACACGGAGTCGCTCCATCATCCTGTTTTAATCACAGCAAGTTTGAAGGATTCAAGACATTTAGAGTTTCAGACACACTGCCAGACTCAGGTACACCCAACAGAGAGGGTCCACACACACACACACACACACATTCACTCTCACACACACTCTCACACACACGTGCACACACACACGCGCACACACAGTGGTATGGTAGGCACACTGTAGTGGACAGCTCAGATGTGTCGTCTCTGACAGTCGATCAAAAGGAGGCACTTCTGAAGCTTTTTGTTCTCAGGTGAGTCTCGGACAGGAAGTCGAAGCTGCGGTCTCATCACACCTGTACAGACCAGCTCACCTGTTCGTACAGGACTCACCTGGGCACATCTGTCCCAGGACGGCTGCAGCAATTTAACTCATCAGTTAACTGTTAAAGGTGTTATTCTGTAGTGACTCACCTGGCCTCTGCTGTGCAGGTGGAGGTGATGAGACCACAGCTGGACAGATGTGTTTGTTTGGTTGGAGCTCAGAGCAGCTGGACGTCACTCAGGAACAGAAAATCTGATTTTATTTTTTATAAAGAACGCTGCACTCTGGCACCAGGTGAGGCAGGAACAGGTGAGTTCAGGTGGGCGGAGCTTCACTGGGAGTTGGCTGCAGTCACTACACCCCTGTGTAACTTCAAAAACATATACAGCTCTAACAGGTGAGTGACGGAGCAGCCAATCAAACTCTGAAACCACACCAGCACAGAACTGGTTTCAGCACCGGTTTGAGGGTGGAGGTGATTTCCACCACGGAAAATAAAGAAAACCACATGACACTTGTGATGACGAACTGACGCATTTCATCTCGCCAACGCCGTGTTTCCTTTAACCAGTTATCTCTGCTACACCTAACCACGACTCACCGGTCTGATGGTGCGTTTGAGGTGTTCCTCGTAAATGTCTGACGACTGTGTTTAAGTAGAAAGCTGAACCGCACAGTCGTAAATAAAAACACGTCAATGACGTTAATGATCCTGCGTTACATCGTCTGCTCGTTTACAACTGAGCGCTCTGTGTGTTCGATGGTGTTTTATTTTGAAATGAGCTCAAATTACTGAAGAGCAGAGACAAAGCAGAAGTTTATCTGCCTCAGTCATGTGACTCTGTTCTAACTCGAAGAGCTGGAAGCAGCAGCGTGAGGTCAGAGGTTACGATCATTGTTTTTATAAAGATTTGTGAATTTATTTTTGGTCAAACCAAAACAGGAAGTTTGATTAATGAGAAAGTAACTGTCACAATAAAACGTCACCTTGTGCAGCTTTGGCTGATCGTCTCACAGAGGAGGAAACATCCTGAGAGTTTCATTTCCTCTTCAAAATAAAATAAAATAAAAAAATAAAAAGAAGCTAAATCAGATTTTCTGCTCCGTCGTGTCGTTTCAGCCTCGAGGAAACAAAAAGCTCATGCAGATGAAATTAAAGTACAGTAGGAGGGAGAGGGTCAACAGTAGTTTAACAGCTGATATTCATGCTTCATGTTCTGCAATTATAAAAACAAAAACAACACGTCCCCTTCGTCTGTGGCTCTTCACCTGCTGCAGGATCGGACTGATTAAAGGGAGAAAATGCAATTGAAGAGTTGAATTCCCATATTAGAAGGTGTTTTACTTTGGTAACAACAGGATGTGGCTGAGGGGTTTGTGATGCGTTCACAGTCTGGATTGTGTTGATCGAAACATTTCAGGAAGTGAACTCTTCAATTCCACCTTTGTGCTCTCTCCTGCTGCGTCAGGGTTCCTCCAGGGTCGGAAACATTTTCCCGCTTCACGTATAAAAATGTCAGATTGAAGTTTTCTGCGTCGCCATGGTGACTCAAACAAAAACCAGCTGCTGAATGAGGATCGGGAAAAAAAACAAACAAACAAACAAACAACAAAAAATAAACGTGAGGAAACCCTGATGATTCTGTCGGAGCAGGAAGGAGGGAAAACGTTTCCATGACGATTCATTTCAACCCTTGAGCCCTGAATCCTCGGCGGGAAAACTCGGCCTCAGTGTCGTCGATGTTAAAAATTCCCTTCAGCTCCGTCGTTGCCGTGGCGCCGGAGAAAAAACGTCCGCCACAGATAAGACGACAGAAAAATAAATTACCCCATCACCTCCGATAAAACCATCTCTAATAATTTACTACTTCCTGTTGAATTGCACAGTGAGATGAGGTGGCAGCAGTTTTTAAGGAGGCGCTGTGTGTTACTGGGTGAAGTCTTTTAAGGTGGAGCTGATCAGGAAGCCCCGGCGTGTTTCTGCCGCTCTTCTTCTCCAGTTTGAGTTTTTTTTTTTTTTTTTTTGGTCCCTCCGGGCTTCCTCCACCCTCAGCCTGGGCGCAGTTCGCCCCTCCCCCCCCAGGAGGGTCGGCCCCTCCGTCGCCGAGTCGGTCAGTTGGTCGGTCCTGGACGTCTGGACTCCGCCCCCCCCCTCCATCACCTCTTCTGCTCCCAGATCTCAGCCATGTTGAGGTCGAGCCGCTCGAGGCTCCTCAGCGCCTGAACGTTCTCCGTGTAGAAGGCGACGTCCACCACCACCAGCCTGCAGCACCAGTCACATGTTAACAACAACAACAACAACAACAACAACAGCTGATGCTCCTCACTAAAGTTTTTGATCATGAAGCCACAACAATAGAATCTCTGAACTCTCCGTCCTTTAACAAATCAACTTCCTCTCTGTAGTTTGTGATCGTCACGTTGTGATCAGCAGATTTAGAGAAACTCCAGACGGAAAAGCTCTTCACAGTTACGTAAAACGATCAAACTGTTATTTACAGGAAATGAGCAAAAACTAAACCACTTCATCAGATTGAAACTCGCTGACTTCACATTCGGCTCCAACGAGATGTCGAACAACCACAAACAGCAGGATGTTTGAAAACAGACAAACAACGTCATGTCAAACTAAAACCAAATCCTCCTTAAATGAGAGTCAAACAGGAAGTGAAAAGCTTGTGTGTGTGTGTGTGTGTTGGAGAGTTACCCGTGCTGCGGTCCTCCATCGTTAACGACCCCGAGTCGGGCCAGCTGCCTCTTCAGGTGCATTTTAAAACTGGCGTTGATCCTCAGAAACAACATCTGAACAGGAAACAGTTTCAACAACAAACAGATCAGATCTCAAACATCTGGTCCAATTAACACGAGGCAACTCCTGCTCAGTCACACCGTCACTCGCTGCTGCAACAGATCTGATATCATCGTTTCAATCATAACGAGCAGCTGCTTCATCGGCCAGAAACAGTTTGGTGAATCCGACCTGGAACAGTCGTCACCAAAACTTCACAGTTTTAGAAACGAGAATATGAAAATGTTCTTGAAGTTCAGTTTGAAGTTTCACTTTATTTTAACAGAAATCCTGTTGATAATCATCTTTGTTTGTGTTTCTGTTGAGACTCTGATAAAAGTGACATTAACTCAAAGTAGACGGACACGTTCCTCTACTGCTGATATTCTGACTAAATGCTGATGAACTTTAATTAAAAACAGATTATCCATCATGTCGAAGGTGAAATCAAACTGATTCTTGAGACTAATGAAAGTCTGATGTCACAAAAAGTCTTTTCTTCGATTTCAAACCGACTTCCGGAGCAGGAAGTCGGTCAGTGAAGCTTCCACGTGTTTATGTCACACTGACGACGTCATCGACAAACATGTCATTAAGAGAACATGAAGATTAAGGAGCTGTGCTGAGTCTCACCTGAGTCTGTTCTTCAGGTAAAAGCTCGTAAATGGCTTCGTGCATCTTCGCCATCTGTTTACAGACGTTCCTGAAACAGGCCGACGGCATCGGAGCCTTCACTTCATACTGAGGAAACATCATCATCATCATCATCATCATCAACCTGCCGACGTCACATGACCATCACATCTGTAGCACAGCACATACACACTCAGCTCTTTATCTCCCCGTGAAAACAGCACTTTCCTTTGGCACTACATTTTTCTCACGTATTCCTACGCACAAGCGCACCTGCAGCTCGCTCTGTATCACGCCGCAGCCGCGGCCGTGAGGTGAGCTGAGCGAATCAGAAAGATCTGATCTTCACTTGGTTTTAACAGGAAGATAAAGCTGAAAATATTCTACACGAAGCTTCATTCAAACAGATGTTGGATTGTTTCCTTGAGCGTCTTTTTAAAGTTTCTGAAACAGGTGTTTGGATCTGATCTTACCTTTGATAAAACCTTCTCAAACAGACTGTCCATGATGGCCACCAGTTTAGCGGAGATCTCTGCTATGTGGTCGTTGTAGTCCTGAAACAAACAAACAAACAAACAAACAAACAAACAAACAAACAAACAAACAAACAAACAAACAAACAGTTTCAGAAACACAACCAACAGCTTTTTACCAGGAAGCTTTAAAATTCGAGGCGTCGAGGAAAAGACAGTTTTTAACTGACAGAGGCCGTGTGTGTTGATTATTGATTATTTGTTTTGGTTCCTGTGCGTTACCTTGGTGATGTGGTCGAAGTGTCTGAGGACGCTGAACTGTTTGGGCTGCAGCTTGGTCTCAAAGTGAGCTCTGATGATGGGAATGTAGTGAACCACCAGCTGCAGGCAGCGGGAAGCTAATGCTACACACACACACACACACACACACACACACACACACAGGAAGATCAGAACTTGTGTTTGTGACTCAGGTGACAGGTGTGTGACGCTGCTGTTGTTGCTAGGTACCGAGGTTTTTAGTGGTGATGGTCTTGAGGCCGACGACCTGCAGCGCTCCGGCTCCCAGAACCAGCTGGCAGCTCCGAGAGTTGAAGTGCTGCAGAGACACGAGAGAAGACCTGATTTACAAAACACACACTGCGTTGACGTCACGCTGCTGCAGGTTGTTATGGAAACGTCACCTGACGAAGGCGGAAAGTCAACGTTTTCAAATGTGAACACAACTGATTTAGATGAAGTGAAAACTTGTTTTTCAGTTTTACCTTGAGGAGATCCGACAGACGTGTCAACATGTCGGTGGCGATCGACGGGATGTCGTTGACGCAGTGACAGTACTCCAGAAACATCCGGATCAGCAGCAGAACCGTCCTGAGGAAACAGGAAGACGACATTATACATGTTATTCAGACTTACAGCTCCTCCAGTGTAAAGGTCTGTGTCCATGTGTAGTGTGATTATAGATCAGCTCTAGCTTCTATATTAATACTGTGAAAGTATCAAAGCCTCAGTCCACAGAGAAATGCACACAGCCTGTATTCAGAAACTGAGCCTTAAAACCAGCCGTCAGGACTTCTGGAACTTTGTGATGTCACAACAAAGCAGTCACCAAGCCCCGCCCACCTGGACCCACCATCCAAACCTTGCAGGATTTGGTTTCTCTGAGTGTTTTTACCTGAAATCTGCTATATTTTTATTGGATCACTCAGAAAACAGTCAGCCAATCAGAAGAGAGGCTCAGAGCCTCCTCTCTTCTGATTGGCTCACCGACCTGTTGTTACTAGAGCTCCAGAGAGAAGCCTGAGAGAGGAGATGTAAAACTACACTGAGATGGATTTATATCTTCTGATGGATCAACACTTCAAATAAAACACAGAAGAAGAAACGTGGAGTTTTTCTGTTGTGTGGCAGCGGTTTGACACTCACCCGACGACGGCGTATTTTTGCCCGTTGACCAGCAGAAACTCTGTCGGCTTCCTGTCTTCTGGACCTGCAGGAGGAAACGTGTTACAGCTTCTTTCATGGTATTCTGTTTGTTGTGAGAAGTAATCATCATCATTGATCACTGATCAGGTCGCTGATCACCACTCATGTTTTCCTGTCTCATCTCTGCGTGTTTCCCTGAGCGTTTCTCTTCTACACGTCACGTCAACAAACATCAGCTGTTCCTGCTGCAGGCAGACGGAGCAGAGCGTCCTGGAGGAGGAGGCGGTTGGTTTGTGGATACCTGGGGTTTTGCGCTCTGGTAGTGTTATCCTGCCGTCAGCGATGGAGTTGACGAGGTCCTGAAACTCGGCGGGAACCTCCGCCTGTTTCCAGCGCTCGTTGTCCAGGAGGAGGCTTCAGCAAACAACAACAACAACAACAACAACAACAACCATCGTCATCATCAGGACACACAACAACACAAACCCACGGCACTGATGAGTCATGGCTCGGCTCTCAGGGTGTTTCTACCGGAGAAGTGGAAGAGGATAAAACTGTGGCAGGAGCTGCAGAGTCTCTGACCTCTTTTAAATCTCTTTATTCTATTGACAAGTTTTTATTTCTTGGTTTTATGAGTTTTACTGATCGTCCTCTCGCTGGTGACTCTGCCGTCCGTCTATCTGCACAAAGACTAAAAACACTTTCCTTGTGTTTCTGCTGCTTTTACTTGTTGCCTCACATGACCTGCTTGTTTTAATCTTGTGCTCTGTGTAAAACACTTATATCAAGTTATATCTATATATCAAGATGGTTTTTATTTTAAATTCAACATGATGAAATCAGGAGTGAAATTCAGCAGAAGCTTCAGCTGCTGCGCCTCAAACTTCTCACTGGTGACACACATGAAGACGCTGCGACTTTTCCATCATGTGACCTCAGAGAGTCCAGACCGAACACACTGAGCTGCAGGTTACCTACCTGAGTTTGGTCTTGCGCTCTTCGTGGAAGCGGTGGACGAAGCGGTTGGCCTGGCTCTGCAGCGCCCCCCTCAGGGAGACGCTGCGCCTGCCACACAGCTCCTCCGTGTCCCTGACGAACGCCTCCACCGCCTGAGAGAGACACACGAACTCGGCCGAGTTCAGACGCTCCAGAGATCCGTCCTGTCGGAGGTGGAGACCGAGTTCAGGTGAAATCTGAGGCCTTAAATAAAAGAAAGGTCAGAGGTCATCCGTGTCTGTGGGACTGTACCTTTGCTCTGGCGGTGAGGACCTTGACGCAGCGGTCGTGGCTGACGTCGGACGCCGTGTACAGCAGCTCCTGGCTGTTGTTGATCACACGGTTCATCTCCAGCTCAGTGGGCATCATGTTCTCGCTGGAGCTGGACACACACACACACACACACACACACACACACACACACACACACACACACACAAACACAACACACACACACACACACACACACACACACACACACACACACACACACACACAGCAGGAAAAGTGAAAAACAGCTTCGAGTTTAATCAGGAATAAAATTCCATCATCTGTTTGAAGAGCGACGTTTTCTACTTTCCTAAATTTCTAAAACAAGTTCTAAGTTTGTTTTTACACATTAAAGATAAAGAGGAATGGATGAACGTTCACTTTAGAAACTCTGCTCTCGTCCCGTTTCTGCGTCTCTGCCGTTATTTTAGTGTTTTATTAAAAGCTGAAACCTGATGAAACCTCTGAACCAGGTCTCACTGCTCCAGGTCTCATCATGATTTCTAAAGAGAAGAGAATCTTACATGAAGTTCTGGTCCCTGCCGACGAAGCTCTCTGAGGCCGAGTCACAGCCGGCCGCCTCCGCCCGGCCCTGCTGGACCCTGGAGCCCACGGCGGAGCTCTGGTCCTGGGCCGCGGCCTGCTGCTGCTGCTGGGCCTCGTTCAGAGCGTCGCTGATGAACAGACCCTCGTGGGTCAGGTAGGCCAGCTCGGCCTCGCCCTGCAGGAGCGATGAGCCCTGGGAAGATTCCTGACCTGAAGCACCTGAACCCGCCTCCTCCAGGAGCCGGTTCTTCTGATTTGAGTCCAGAACTTCCAGAACCACGTTTCCGATCACGCTCAGAGTGGCCTGACGGACAGACGGGAAACGACAGGTGAGAGCGGACACATCACTGTCTCTCAGGTGTGACGACTGATGCTTCTCTGACACTCACCTTGATCCTCTGCAGGAAGAGGAGGAAACTCTCAAAGACGTTTTTCAGAACCTCAAACCACTGAGGGAACGTCATCAGACGCATCTGGTCAGCTAGCCTTCACACAGATGTGCAATGTTAGAAACAGCTGTATATTTATGAATTCACACACTGGTACAAGTGACAGAAATGGCTTTTTAATGTTTTACAGTTTAACCCCCCCCCCCCCAAAGAAACTGGCTCCAGAGACATTGTCCAGAAATGATTCATCAGTTTTCCTGCTGCAGATTTCATCACATTCACATTTCCACTTACTTAGTGACGACTTCAGTGTCAATTTCTTCTATGTGCAAAACACTTTCTGCCACAGCCTGTAAACACACACACACACACACACACACACACACACACACACACACACACACACACACACACACACACACACACACACACACACAGTGAGTTTAACCACGACACACAGACTGACGTGTTGTTGATCACGAGCTGCTCTGAAATGAGAATCGCAGGTAAAAGTAAATATTCCACCTGAGCGACGATGGCCTTCGCCGCCATGATCATCTCATCGCTGTAAATATCCAGAAAGTCCAGCTTCCTCTGCCTCAGCAGGCCGAACACCAGCGACTCCAGACGCTCCTGAAACAACAAACAACAAACAAACTAATTACCAATTAAAAAAGACAGAATCCTGAGGCCACAATCCCTGATCTGATTTCAGATTAACGCCACAAGCTGAGATCAGAGCGGTCTCATCAGCACAAGCAACAGATCAATAATCAAAGTCACCCAGTCAGGACTGGCCCTGTCGCCATGGAGACAAGAAAACTGATTGGAGCTGAAATGGAAACATGATTATTTTTCTAAATGTTGACACCAAGATTTCTTAAAATTACTTTTTATTTTTATTTGAAACTAAATTTAATTAAAACATTTTATTGCTTTTGATTCAGGTTCATGATCTAAAGATTATTGATTCATTAGAATTAGATAGAAGATTGTTTCACATAGTATTTGATTAAATGATTCATTTTTACAGGAGATGAAACCATCTGCCCCGCCGTGTGTCTCTGACCTGCTCCGAGGTCGCGTGGATTCATCACATCCTTTACTCATGTTTCAGACAGCGACCTGACGCCACCTGAGCTACACCACATCAACTAACCCCGCCCACCTGGCGCTCCAAGCACGTTAAAACAAACAAAGAATTATTTCAACATTTGATCGATCGCTGATGATTTCACCACCGGAGAGGATTTCAAGAATTTGACGGAAATTATGTGTGTGTGTGTGTGTGTGTGTGTGTGTGTGGCCCACCTTTTGGGAGACGGCGTTTGGTTTGTGGACCTGTGATGGACACGGCATCCGTTAAATATGTAACAAGTCACATCAGAGTGAAGAGCTGAGCTCAACATGATCCTCTCATCTATTTATTCTATTCTTCATTGAGAGGAAATTTAATTCACTAACTGGCTTCAAATATTTTTCTTATTTCCAATTTTCAACCTTTTTTTTTCCTCCTGACTCTTTCACAGACGATAAAGATGATTCTCATTAAGTGGCAGCTGCTGATGGATAACTTTCTTTTCTACATTAGAAATATGATTCTGTTCCGCACGTCTTCCACTGAGTGATCTTGATGTTTTAAACCCTTTATGTTTTCTATAATAAAAGTTTAAAAGTTTCACCATGTGCTGCACATGTTGAGAATCAGCACAACCTCAGCTGATTAAACACGTCGCTCAGTAAAGACTCCTGTACAGTATAACAGTGGTTAGTATTCCTTATTTTAGAGATAAAAACATTGTGAACCAGAATCAGGAAAGAGAATCTGCTTGAGTTGTTGAGGTGAAGTTCTTCTTTATATAAACTCAGATCCTCTAAAGATCTGCCTCCTCTCGTCCTTCTGTCTGTTTCTGTCGCTTCAGTAAACTCTGCACGACTTCTCACTGAGTCTGAGTCAGACACTCTGATTGGCTGTGACAGCTCCCACTGCAGCCAATAGGAATGTGACGTGTCTCTAGACGTCTGTAAAACTCCAAATCTCTTAACGTCAGTGTGTCGACTGAAGTCAGTGACTCGTACTGTTTTATTATCACATTTATGACGAGCGGCAGGTTTATATTTCCCCTCCGGGCCCAGGACACTTCTCTTTATGGAGGCGACAAACAGGTGATGGGAAAACAACATAAATAAATGAATCACTCAGTGAAGACAAGAGTCATGACGAGACACAGAGTCAGTTCAGACCTTCTCCAGGACCTGAGGCTCGTCCCTCAGGCAGCGGCTCAGGTCGCTCCGCGCATACATGCTGAAGTCCTCCACCATCATCTTGTCAATCAGCTTCTCCAGCTCGCACAGCTGGGAGCCCAGATGTCTGAGAGACACACACACACACACACACACACACACACACACACACACACACACACACACACACACACACACACACCACAACACAACACCACACACACACACACACACACACAGGTTGTGTCATGTGCTAAAGGTGTGTTCAGGTTAAAACCAAGCGTCAACCTCCAGACTGAAACATGAAGCATCAACATGAAGAACCAGCAGCTGCAGTTCCTCTAACGACCACTAGAGTCTGGCTCCAACAGTGAGTCAGTCCCCATAGACTCCCATGTTAAAAATTTACAGCAGAAATCAACATGTTTACAGCCTGGTACAGAAACTGTTTTGGTCTCTAGAGCTGATTTCATTTTAGCATTAGCTGGGAGTTAGGGGCGGAGTCAGACGCAGTGTAAGGACGCAGACAGACAAAGTTCCCTCAAAGGAGACAAAGACTCATCTGCATCGTGTCCAACATCCACGTCCACACTCCCGTCTGTAAACACTCCAGCGAACCCTGATGACATGAGGTGAGAAGTCAACACCTGTCCCCTCACCTGAAGCTGTGGATCCCCTGCAGCTCCTGCTGCAGCACCTCCTTGGTGGTGGCGATGAGCTCCAGCGCTCCGACGAACTCGGAGGTGGAGAGCAGCAGCTGCACGGTGGGCTGCGTCTGGTGCACGGCCGCCATCAGCTTCAGCTTGTTGTGCAGCTTCACGCAGTTGTTGCGGGCCAGAGCGGTGCGGAGGGCCCGCAGGGGCCCCTGGCACATGATGCGATCCATGTCGGCGGTGCGACCCCGCAGGACGGCGACGGCCCGCTGCGTCTCCTGCAGCTGGTCCTGCAGCTCGTGCTGCGACGACATGGCGTGAAAGAACGCCTCGGAGCGCAGCGAGATCTGCCGGGCGATGCTCACCTCCACCACGTCCAGGTAGTGACTCAGCTGAGCGAGGAGGAGACGATCCACATCATCACACACACACACACACACGCTGCTACTTCACAAACACATGTTAGACCTGGATCATTACGTTTATTGATCTGTGATGGAAAACTGAACTGGTGCTTCATGAGTCAGTTACTGTGAATAACAACAGAAAGATTTTAATGACAATGTTTTATAAAATCTGACAGTGATCAGGATAAACCAGTTCTCTGACTCAAATCCATTTTCATTTGAATCATCTGATGGATTCATGAGATCGAGTCTCCTGATGACGCGTGAAGCTGTGACTCCGTTAGTCTCACGTGGCGAGGTCTGGTCACGTGACGTGACAGATACAAACGTGGCTCGGCCGAAGGTCTAGAGGGAGACGTGTGGCTGAATTTCAGATTCAGAAAGAGTGAAGACGAACGTGTGAACTCACCTTCTCCTGCAGCAGCTTGGAGGAGGCCACGTCTCTGCTGCTCTTCCCTCCGGCGCTGTTGAAGTGCGACCAGGGCAGGACGGCGTTGAAGGTGGCCGGGTCCTCCAGAGCAAAGTCAGGCTTCAAGAAGATCTGAAGAAAAACAGACAGGAGACAGAACTGAGTGACGTCTCCCTGGGAAACTGTTTGACACATCGATGATAAACATGTTGAACTCAACATGTTTCTGGACTGAGTTTCGTTCGTTGGTCACGTCAGAGTTTATGGTTTATCTCTCCAGTCAAATCTGCTCAGTTACCTTTGGGACTTGTTCCAGCTCCGCTCTGGATTTGTCTGCAGGAAACAGGAAATGATCTGCATCAGTCACATGACGTGTGTCAGCTTTTGTTTATTACCACATGAATAAAAACAATGATTTAATACGATCTAACATAATACATAACATACTAGATCGTACAGATGACGCACACTACTTCATTTTACATCAATCAGCTGATCAGAATATTAATAATAATAAAGTTTGTTTGTACGGGAGATCTCAACACTGATGCTACAAACAGCAGATAAAAACCATCAGTCTGTTGCATTAAACTACATCAGTCTGTCGAAGCTGCAACGATCAGTTAATCAACAGAAAATGAATCTGCTTCTCATTAATTAACCATTAAAACTGAATATTTCCTTGTTTGTTTCAGCTTCATGTGAAGATTTGACGTTTTCTTTGTCACATGATCATAAACTGAATCATTTTAGATTGTTGATCAGAAAATGAGAAACTTTCACCATTTACTGTCATTTCACAGACAAAGCGATCAATCAGCTGATTGAAAAAAAAACAGCATCATATCAGCTGATTTAATCAATAATGAAAATAAAGTAAATGTACAAAAAACCTCCTTCTTAAACACGGAGTCAGACGCTGTTATCACGTTACTCATGGGAAACATATCTGATGTCGTCTCCATTACGAGCTCTGCTTCCTGTAGGTGTCAGGGGGTTGTCATGGTAACGACTCCAGCGCAAACGCTCGGTGAATCAAACATGTATTTGATTGACGGCGCTGAACACGGGGTTAGTGTTGGACTGTGTCCCGTGTGTGCAGACAGGAAGCGGCGCCCTGCGGCAGGTTAATAATTCATACCGTGGTTGGTGGTGATACTGGAGACGGCGTCCACGTCGTCTTTGTTCGGACAGATCGTCTTGCAGCGCTCGTGGATTTTTTCCCTCTGGAAAAAAAACCAAAAAGAAACAAAGAAATCATGAAAAGACAAATTAGAGTGTTACCACGGTAACAGCCCCACAAGGTCAGTGATGTCATTATCAAACAAAACCAGCACCTGGAGCGGGGCAGGAAGCACGAGGTTCAGCCTGAGGGCGGCGCTAAACGACAGAAAGGTGACGAGTTTTTAATGGTCACGTTTCCTCCTCAGTCAGATGAAGATAAACGAGTCGACGGGGGAAATCAGGAAGCTTCAGAGGAGCGCTTCATAACCGTCACTGTCTGTCCCACTGAGTCTGTGTCTGTGAGACGTCGCTCTGAAACCTGAGCCAGCAAATAATCATGTGAGACTTTGTCTGAAAAGCTGGACCAGCTCACAGGAGCTGAGACAAGTTTAAAAAAGGATGTTTCACTCTCTCAGTGGATCTGAGGGTTTTTACAAAGCCAAGTTTAAAACTATTTCACTGTGTTTCACAGCTGAATGGAGCCGAGTGTCAGCTTCACGAAGCTCAGAGGAGTCAAAGTCTCACACTGAGAATGAGATTTAGAGGAACCGGGGGAATGACGTCGCAGCAGAAACTGATGTAACACAGAGTTTTCACAACAAAAAGGGGCTGCAACGCTCCTGTTGCTACGACAACCACAATCAAAACGTCTCTCAAAGTCTGTAACCGAGACGTTTTTTAAGTGATAAAAGAGGAAACAAAGTCGCCTCAGTGTCTGAGGTTCCTCCTTCACGTGTTGTGATATATTTGAACGACATGTAATAAAAAGAAAAAGCAGATGAGCAGATGAATGAGGCTGAAGGTTCAGAAACATTTCTCATTAACATCATTAAAGCAGCGTCACTCAGAACGAACCGGACGCAGCGAGTTCACGTTCACATGTTCATTAACATCCCAGTTAATCACATCAATACGATATCTCTGTGAGTCTTTCCACCGATAAGAAAATCAAGTGGTGGAAGGGGGAAACTAAACAGGCCTGAGGTCAGATCTGGTGACCTTTATAATAAATAAATACAAATGAAGCAGCAACATCCCAGTTACAGTGGATGTGCTCAGGAAGAAAAGAAGAAAACCCTCCTCCTGACGTCACGTGAAACCTCCCAACTTCAACGTCAAAACTTTCTCACAACGTTGATGAAAAACTCCTGGATCTAACTCCTGAGTAATGGCTTAAAAAGTGTGTGACCTTGACCTTTGACCTTTGACCACCAAAATCTAACTAGTTTGTCCTTGAGTCCGGGTGAATGTCTGTGCAAAATTTGAAGAAGTTCCCTTGAGGAGTTCTGGAGATATCACGTTCACCAGGCCACAATCATGTCTTATGAGGTCACTGTGACCTTTGACCTTTGACCATCAAAACCTAATCAGCTCATCGGACAGACGGATGAACAACCTGAAAACAACATGGCTGCCGCTCTGACTGTTGCCGGGCGGAGGAATAAAAAACAAAACAAAAACATTAGGAGCTGAAACTGCCTCAGCAGGATTCCTGACACACCTGCCGCAGGTGAGGCTGAACAGACACACGACAGGTATCTCATGCATGGCCGGTCTGAAGCCCCGCCCTCCCTCGCTAGCGTTGAAGCAGTGAGTCTGCTGAGGTCGTTACCTGAGCCGTCTCCTGCAGGTAGGGCCCGAAGTGTTCCCTGGTGATGTTGGGGAGGTAGAAGGAGGGCATCACCTCCGTCTCCGCGAAGTCCAGCCCCCACGTCTTGGTGAAGAAGTCGGACTCCCGCTTGGCGAGCCGGGGGTCGTTCAGCGCGGCGGGCAGGTTGACCTTGGAGCTGTACACCGTCCACCTGTCATGCTCCGCCACCACTGATGGGCCGTCGCACAGGCCCCGCCCCTCACCTGCAGGACCACATGGAAAATCTTTTAGATATTAAAATGGTACGTGTGCTTAAAACATTTTCTTCTTCTTCTGTGTTTTATTTGAAGTGTTGATCCATCAGACGATATAAAAATCTCCTCTCTCTCTCTCTAGTAACAACAGGTCGGTGAGCCAATCAGAAGAGAGGAGGCTCTGATAAAAACTCTATAGAGGATTTCACACATCACACTGCTGCCACACGATTGGCTGATTTGATAGATGCATGAATAAACAGGTGTACAGGTGACGCCGCGTCACTCTCTTCATAGAGCTAATGATTAACGAAGAGAGTGACGGATACAGCGTGTGGTGAAGAGTGCAGTTTCCCACCGGTGGGCTCCTTGGGGCAGACGTCAGGCAGGGAGCGGACGGGCCGGCGGCAGCGAGGGGGGGAGGGATCCCGCTCCTTGTGATAGATCCCATCTCGGCCTCCGACACCGGGACGAGGCACTGGGGAGGAGCCGTGGCTGGAGGCCATGGCATTGGGACTTGCCTCCTCGGAGGCTAGCTGGACACACACACACACACACACACACACACACACACACACACACAGAGCTGATATTAGAATTAGGGATCGACCGATATATACCAATACTGATGATGACCAATAATGAAGGAGACAGATAACCAACATCTGGAACCGATATCTCAACACAACACTACTGCCTGTTGAACACACACACACACACACACACACACACACACACACACACACACACACACAATGATCATCATCATCTGTCTGAAACTGTTTAAACACAAGCTGAAGATTAAAACCTTCATGACGGAGGATTTACTGCAGGACTGTTGCATCAGACTCCATCAGTTCAATGTTCCTAATAAACTGATCACTGAGTGAATATTATTGATTATCAGCTGCAAACAGCCTGAGCTCATTGATTTCGTTGCTGTTCTCACCTGTGAACTGATTCACCTGCAGATGATCTTTAATTTAATAGTTTTACATTATTATTATTATTATTATCACCAATAAGATGTTTCTACTCCCCTTTTAAACTGTAACGCAGTAACACGTTTACTCACAGATTTTATTTTATCGTTATCAGTTTAAAAAAAAAAACGACACCGATAATCAGTCGATCCCTAATTAGAATTACATGATAAGGCTGTCAATACATTTCAGAGTTTGTGCTGTGATTTATTCTATATTTAATCATTTTCATCTCTCAGTATTAACCCCAAACTTAATGGATAAGTCTGGTGAAACTCAGTATTTTTCTTCTTGTCAACAAATCCCAGAAAAAGACTCAAACCAACAACTGAAGGAAGTGTGACGGCGGCTCTGGGCGAAACAAAGGTATTTATGGGATAAACCATATCTACTCTGAAAACAAAGGACGTTCCATCACGACAGTATTGTTATTACTCACTATAACTAGAGAGATAAACAACAAAGGTTCTGTGAGCCTTCAGATGACGTGAGAAACTGACGATGAAAACTATATGGTACGGCTCAACCTGGGGCCGACCTGAGCTCCGCCCCCCCTCGTTAAGTGCAAAGCAGAAATAAGATAAATTAAACATCTTAGGGGCAATAAATAACACGTGCACAATATCTTAACATGAAGAACTTGGCTCCTACCCCCACCACCCCCCACCCCTCCACCGTCCTGCTGCCCCCAATACTCACCCCTCACCAAATGTGGATCAATCCACTGCTGAAAATAGTCCCTGACAGATGTGCTGTTTCCTTCTGTTTGTTTGATTAACACCACAGTGACCAGCAGCTGTAGAACATCAAAGTTTTTATCTGTGAGCAGAATTTGTTCAAACTGACAGATTCACTGAGTCGTCGTTCAGTTTCACCGTAGCAGGAAGTGACACGGGCTCAGAGCTGCTGCAGCTCAAACCAGAACTGAAAGTTCATTTCTGCTCAGTGTGTCGACGCGGTCGCAGCACGTTCAACGTGTTGGCACCGCCTGACTCAAAGTTCAGCCTCAGCCTGTGCCACATCTGCACCACCTGTGCAGCTCAGGCTGCACCTGCTCACAGCTGGGTGCGAGAGTCTTTTACTGTGAAAATCTGCTGGTCTCAGCTCTGCAGCAGTGGAAACATGCTCAATAAAGTACAGAAGAAAAGTACTTTCCTTTAGATTTCTGAATTATTATCTAAATAGATGTGTTCTATGATCTATCAGCTTATTGATTATCTGACTGATCGGCTTGTTGTAGCTGTAGTTGAATATGATGTCATAGTAGCAAACTGCAGCATGAACCGGGGCTGTTCATCATCGATCAATATCTTTCATTTACGGTGAAAACGTTTAACGTTAAAATCAGATGGTTCAAAGTAAAAATATCTGTTGGTTTAAACACTTTACTACGGAGGAGGATCGGGGCCACATGTGGAAGAGTCTGAATTGGTAATCTATACAAAGTGGGGTGTATTGATTATCATGATGCAAAGTAGAACAAGAGATTAGAAGAAGAGAGAAAGAAAAAAATAGAGACTGCATTGCTCACAGAAATGAGTCACTCACTTGATCATCTGTTAAATCTAAATCCTTACTATAATTAATGAAGCGCCTCTGTGTATTTTCAAATACATGCTGCAGAGCCTTTAATATGTAGGAAATCCTTTATAATGGAAGGGATAATAATAGCGTCTGTCTTATCCACTGAGTCGTGCTCCGTCTGGGAATTTTTCTCCATAAAAGAATAAATCAAACTGAGGTCTAAAAATGCTTGTTCACTTTTACTATAGTGACTTTTCTCTGCACAGAAACCCAGCAGAAGGAAACGCTAAAGTGCTTCCTGATGTTAAAATTTAAATAAAAATATTGTGGCAAAATATTACAAAGACCTGATGGGTGAGTCCTGAACAGCCCGACCGAGCCGCACAGCGTGAAGCGGAGACGTGTTGTGTCGACGCTCGGCTCTAATCTGACTGCTCAGACTGTGGAGGTGTGAGACCCTCTGCTGTTAATCCCATCACAGTGATGAGAGGATTAGAGGAAACGTCCTCAGCCTCACTCTCACCACCACCACAGTTTTCATAAAGCTTCTCCTGCTTTCACATAAAAACAACAACAACAACAAACATCTTCTCAAAGACAGATTAAATATCTAAAAGTGGAAACTTCACATCCCGCCCGGCTGCTCGTTTCCACCGCCCACTGAGTCTTCTGTCGAGTAAAAATAGAAATATTTGGCCGATTTATATATTTTTGGAAAGTGTGCTGCTTTGGAGGATTAGGCTCTGCACTTCAAAATAAGACTTGGAGCATCACAGATTAAAGTTGTCACTTTTTCATGGCTCTGGGTACATCAAGAAAAAAATATTTTTGGATCTGTGGTCTGGCCGATGTTTAGAAGGTGTTTTATCTCTATTTATACATTGTTTGCAAAAATAAAAAAATTCTATGTGTACTGTTTTGTAATAAGAGCCGAGTGTCCAGAACTAACACGCTCTCAGACGGAGCATTTCCTCTTCTGGCTCATTATGTTTGAAAAAAAAGGAAGAAAAGATTTTAACGTAATGAAAAACAACAAATCAGCAAATGAAAGGCACAGACATAATCCTGATGTGATCAGTGAACATAACTTATATTTCTGTGGTCACATAAAAGAAAAACTGACTCTCGATTCCTAAAATCACAAATCGATCTTTGCATCTGTTTGATCGGTTACGCTACACATTTTATGCTAAACGTTAAGTGTAGACTCTGATGTGACCTGCAGTTATTTCATAATGGGACTCAGTAATCCATGTATGGATTACTGAACAGATCTGCAGGGCCCTGAGCCTCTGCTTGAAGTGACTGTTTCACAGAGCTCAGTTAAAATAAGATGAGATGCACCTTTAATCACATTTCATTCCTGCGTTTTACTATTTTTATTTGACATACCTTTTTACTGGTTATTGGTCTTATTTTATTCTCTAAATCGTTTTTAATTCATTAGTATCATTTATGTGTTTTTAATTTGTCTATCACTATCCACATAGTTTTTTGTGGTTGCAACTTCCTTTTGACTACCACGAAGAGACACACTAACACCACGAGAGACTGAATAAGACAGCAAACATCATCATTTGTGGTCATTTGTCACTTCTAACAGCAGTGTCCTCACAGAAAAAAAGTTATAACTAATGTTACTGTCTGCGGCAGGGGAGAGAAAATATTCAAGACCTTTGTAAATGACATTTAAAACTTTTAAATACCATCTGATGCCCTGTTTTCTGAGGGAAATGAATCAACCTGCAGATGCACCAGAGTTCCAGACAATATTATACAACTGCTTTAACTGATTCAACGCAAATAGTCTTGTCCAAACAGGGATTTCCTTTAATGTCAGCCTAAATAAAACCTGAATTCACTCATGAAATAAAGTCTCAACTCATTCCTGTCGGTGCAGACTGAGATAGGCAAACTTCACAGGTTCTGATAAGTTGTTTTAACCCACAAATTTGAACGGTGCTTCTACAAAGCAGCTGTTATATGTATTTAATGTTAAATATTAAAGTTTAAATGGTCTCTTACAGACTTTTTTTTGCTGTAGTTCACCTGGAATGTCACATCACCGCTGTTCCTGCTGTCACGACAGGCAGCTGTGCCAGAGGCTAGCCAGCTAGCATTAGCTTAGCTCCGGAGCATTCGTTGCCTGTAGTTGTTTAGCACTTAATCCACTGAGCTGACAATGAAGGCAACACTAAACGATAACACAAGAGGCGCGAAAATATTTTTCAGTATCAGTGACAGGACCGATAGGGCGCAGAATAACCGCGGCCTGCGCAAAAAGCTAATGCTAAAGCTAATGTTGTCAGGCGAGTCCAGCGGGGTTACACGTAGGCTGGCTAATGCTAGCAGGCTAGCCGGACAGCTAGCTGGCAGACGGGGGTGAAGCAGAGACAAACCCCCGGGGAGGAGGGAGGTTCAGTGACCGCGGGGCGTCAGCCGCCCTCCGTACCTGTCGTGTGAAGCACTGCAGCCGGTGTTTCGTCTCTGCACCATCACAGGAGCACTGGAGCAGCCGGGAGCGGAACAGCGGCAGCGGATACCACCGGTACACTGGCCATCATGTACTCCGGGATAGGGGAGGCGGGGAACGGAGCGGCGGCGGTGGGTGCTCGGTACAAAGATCGCTGCTGCCACCTGCTGACCGCAGCCGTCACCGGCCACTCTGCAGTCACCACCCGGTAAAAGCCTGTCTGTCCCTCTGTCCCTCTGTCCTCGGTCCACTTCTGTTTACACTCAATAACATGAATCATCACACTCAGTGCTTCAACGTCCACTTCCGGCTCCGCTCCAACCATCAGCTCTTAATCACACACTGGAATTAAATACAGAGAAGATACAAGAGAACACAACAATTAAAGTACTGTACTGTAATTAATTGATTGACAATTAAAATTAATTAATGAAATTAAAATGAACAATTAAAGTCCATTTCAAAGTGTAAAACAGTCTGCGCTGGATTATGGAGATATTCTGTACTATCAGGCTGCCCAACATTACTTCAGCACTACATAACCTTAGATTTTCTTTATTTTCCTTTTTACCCTTTGGAGATTTTAAAACTTAATTATCTGACAATTGTAATTATTTTTTTTTATTAGTTGTGTCATAGTTGTGTTATTTCGTGTGTTCGTTTATATCTGTTGCTCCTTTGTTTTTGAAGATGTGTTTTGTCAAATTACCTTCATTTTTTTATTAACACACATTAAAAACCCTCAGGCACGGTGCTGGTACCAGATGAACTGTATGTTTGTCAACAAACGGGTTTATTGTCATATTGTGTTTCTGTTTTTATGTTTCTATTTTGCAGAAGGGATTTCTTCTTTTAGGACAATAAAGATCTGAATTGAAAATACATACAAAAAAACATAACATGAATAATTCATTCATTCATTAATATATTTTGTAATTTATATTGTTGTGTAATATTTCTTCACATTTTTATTGTAAATATTTGAATTTATTGTTACATTTTTCTATGTCTATTTAATCTATCTGACCTGTTTTATCTTTGTTTATATTTCTTTTCTTCTTACTATGTTTGTTGTGATGCACAAAAACACCAAAGCAAATTTCCTGTATGTTGAAAACCTACTTGGCAACAAACCAGATTCTGATTCTGAAATAAAAATCACAATATTTTATAACAGTTCACACATTTCAAACACTAACAGTTTGGGCGACTCACTGAGTTAAGATTATTTTGTCAGACTAGACGTTCTCTGTGAGAGATGCTGGTAAAATAATATTTTTGATTTTGTTTAAAGGACATAAAATTATCAGCCACACTGCAGGTAAATTGCAGGAGCCTGTTTACAGCTATAAATCCACATTAACAGAGACAGAGCCAAATATCAGCGGTACGCTTTTACTTTTATTATTTGCGGCTGGTACAAAATGTTTGCAGTGCGACGGCACAGCTCTCACTGCAACACAAAACATAGGAATGGTGAAAAAAACACAAAGACACTTTCATTATGAAACATGAGATGAGTCAGTGTGGGTCAGTGAACTCATCATCAGCTGTTGGTTTGTTTTGTTGACACTTTCAGTTCTACAGTTCTCCTCCTGCAGGTTTCTGATGCATCTGAGAGCAGCTGAGGTTTTACTGGTTTGACTGAAGGACATAGTCCACCCCAAAATTTACTTATTAACCAACGCTGGCTGCTTTGGCCTCACGTCAGCTGTCCGAACAGATGCTTCTCTGCTCACAGCTCCAAGGAGAGCGGAAGTCAACAAACTAATGGTTTCAGAATTAGAAATAGAGCTACTTAAACAAGGTCATTAAACTCTAAACTGTTCATCATCTCGGGAGCGGGAAATTTGAAGGAAACTACCAGATAAATTTCTGTATTTCTCATCACCATGGTGATATGAGGTTTGGCCTCATGGTGGCGCTAGAGGAGAAGTCTGTATTCATCTCCATAACCTCACGGTAATCTGGTCTGGAGTTTTATTTTTGAGTTTACATATATTTTCTGTGTAAATGTGAGTTTTCATTTTGGGGTGAAATATTCCTTTAAGAGCACTTTGGAGTTGATGCATCATCTAATACCACAGTGTTCGTTCCTCCTGTGACAACCAGGTGGTTTACAGTCATGTCAGTAGGAGACTTTTATTTTGGTGGAAAAAAAAAAACCCCAACATTACAAATGTTCATTCTAGATGTTTCAAGTCACAGGACAGCAACTGCTAAAGTTTCCCAGATATAGTTTCCTTAAGTTATGATATAAAGCTATGATATATTAAGATCATTAAAATACAGTTAATGTGTCTTCACAGGCAACGACGTGACTGAGGAAGGTCACTTGATTTCAGAAGTTCAGATACAGACAAACAGCTTCCAAATCTACAAACTGGGACACGAGCGCTGGACTCCATGAGGAGCTGTTCAAGGCTGCACTGGTTTAACAAAAAGAGACGTTACACGCAAAGAATTACGACGGAGGATTAGGGACACGTTAAGGAAAAAAAAGAATCTGAAGAATAAAGTCGGAATATTACAAGAAAAAAAGTCATAATGAGAATAAAACCATAATTTGAGTCACAAAGAACCTGAAATTACAACTTTATTCTTGTAATATTATGATTTTATTCTCAGATGTTTTCCCAGGGTGAGGCCCTAATACTCCGTCGTAAAGAATAAATAAGAAAGTTGTAGGCAAATCAAACATCATCAGTTTAACCAGGCAGTTTTTCTGCAGCTGTGTCCAGAGGTGGCGACGCCGCCTGAATCACATGATGTTCAAAAAAGAGCAGAAATCACCTCAATAAATGTTTTTATCTGTAAAATTAAGTTAAATTAAGTTTATTATCAAAATTAAATTACGAAAAATCTAAAACTAAAAACACGTGGTTGTGTCCAGACGTCTGCTGGTGAAGGCGTCAGTCTCTAGTCCAGCGGGCTTTGGAAGATGAGTCTGACGCAGCCGGCGTCTCCGTTCAGCGGCTGGATGCAGAACGGGCAGGCGGCGTGGAAGGCGTGCGTGCCGTGCGGCAGCAGGATCTGACTCCAGTACGCCGTCGTCTTCTCCGAGCAGACGTGACCGCAGGGCGCGAAGGCGTGGGTGGGGGGCTCCGCGTCCACATAGAAGGCCGCCTCGCAGCCCAGCCACAGCGGCACGTAGGGGCCCCGGGCCCGGCACATGGGGCACTCTCTTTCCTGACACTCCGCCTCTACCTCGGGGTCGCGGCGCCCCCCCCAGCCGTGGTAGCCGTGCACGTGGCCGCAGCGCATGTACGCCCAGGGCTGCTTCTCGTCGAGGACGTCTTTGCGGCGCAGGCTGGGGAAGGCCAGCGTGTTGAAGCCCACGGGACACTGCGGCCGCCCGGCGTTCAGCTCCTGCCGCAGCGCCTCCAGGTGTTTGACGGTGGGAGTGTGCGCCAGGCCCTCGGCGGTCCGCCACAGCAGCGTGGTCCCGCACAGGTCGATGAGCGAGCCGTCCACCAGCTCGTTAGACTCGGAGGACACCTGAAGAAGAGATGGGCAGAAGGATGAAGGTCAATGACACCACAACGTGTGTCTGCACTGTTTACATTTAGAGGGTCAGAGTGATGATGTCACTTCCTGTAGCAGCTCAGCACAATCTCTCATCAGTGAAACAGTTTGAGATAAACGAGCTTCCTGATATTTATCAGAATTTGAACTCCTGAGTTTTAATAAAGTTAAATAGAACCTGTTCTACACGTAGAACCACAAACATCATGACGGGTTCTGATGATTTCTTTTATCATTTTCTTCATAAAGGAAAGAAGGCGTGATACGACGACACAGTCCCCAGGCCTCAGTCTGTTACTTCACCCTCCCAGTCCGGACGAGTGAGCTGCACCTGTAGACCAGTGACTCAGCAGCTTTCCTCCTGCCACACCGACACCAGCTCCCTGCGTCTGTTGGACGGCAGTGATCTCACTCTCTGCTGAACAGGTTGAAATCTGGAGAAACCTCCGGTAACATTAGTCAGTGTCGTTTCACCACCTCTGGTTTTACAGCAGCAGCTTCAGCCGGAGGAAATCAGTGACGCACAACTGACTGATACCTGCTCCAACGTATTGGATCTGAAAATCTCTCACTATTTTACATTTTAATGTGATTTTGAATGAAGTCATTAAACACAACACTCCTGTGATGAGAACACACTTTGTAAAGGTTATAAAGTTCATGTTGCTGTTTCCTGTTGACCAGTATGCAGAGCGGGCTGCATGAACCCTGCGTTGGGATTGGTTGGAGCTTCACTTTCTGAAGTTCCTGCCTTTCCACATTCTGGGAAGGAGGAGTGTAAAGGCCGGTCCGGCCAGTCGTCCACCTCCTGCTGTCTGGAACTTTGAGAGCAACTTGTTGAGGCTGTCGGGGCCGGTTAGAGAGTTAGTTAGAGACGAGCTGATTTGCGGTTGTTTCACTAGGAACAGAGCTGCTGCTGCTTCCTGTGGTTCTTTTGTTTTTAGTAATAGAGCAGACGCTTCTTTCATTTCATTTTTAGTTTAGAAAGTGGCAGAAAGGCCCAGTTCCCCTCTTTGAGTTCCCCTCTCACCTTGATTGCACCTTTATTAACTTATTTACCGTCATTGCTGTTTAATGAATTTACATTTCCACCTCCAACTGGTTTCATGTTGCGTCCATTTCCCCCAAACAATGAGCTGGATCACACACACACACACACACACACACACACACACACACAAATACCAAATAAAACCTCAGCTCTCTCTCTGTGGGTTTAATGTGGAATAAACATCAGTAACTGAGTGAAAATGAAAACCACAGAAGAAGAGCTGCTCATCAGTGTCTCTTTGACTCTGATAGGAGGGAAGGTGGTGAGGACAGGTGGATGACACCTGTGCACTGACCCACTTAGACTGACTGTGTCACTGAACAGCTGATGGAGGTCTATGGTGTTCTCCGTCATCCACGTATTACCTCTGCTGTTTCAGCTGCTCGTGTGTGTGTGTGTGTGTGTGTGTGTGTGTGTGTGTGACCCACCATCTTGCCTCTCTGCTGGGACGATCTGGTCTCCCGCAGTGTGAAGACGTTGCCGCAGACGGAGATTTCCCTCCACAGGCCGGGTTTGGAGTCCTGGCTGAAGCCGTGGCGCGGGTGCATCACCAGGACGCCGTTGGTGGTCAGTCCGTCCATCTGGCCGTCCTGCATCCTCCACTTGGCTGCCTTCTCCTGTGAAGAAGAAAAGAGTTCACGTTTCTCCACAAAGAACAAGAACAACAACGTCTGTGTGACGAGCAGCAGCGGCGGTGGCGGCGGCGGTCAGGTCACCCTACCCCGAGGAAGATGTTCTTGGAGGAGTCGAAGCCCGCAGCGTAGATCCGAGCGGAGTACGGCGGGTTTCTCTGGCAGATGATGCGGCAGGCGAAGCGTGAAATTGTGCTCTGGATCGTCTGACTGTCGGCGGGACCCTGACCCCCAGGAACCATGTCCGTCACCACAAAGTCAATGGGATTCTCTGTGGAGCGCCCGATCTGTCACACACCACACACACACACACACACACACACACACACACACACACACACACACACACACACACACACACACACACACACACAGAACAATAAATGACCAATGACAGTGACAACAGACTGGAAAACAAAGATAAGGATAAAGATAAAATAATAAAACACTAAAACAGAGGAGATGTATTAGAGTGAGTGAAACCAGAAATAAAGGTAGGGCACTAAAAGGAAAGTAATCATAGAATAAAAGGACACATCAGTAAAACAGCTTGAAATATATAAATACATAGAAAGATGAATAAATTAAATAAAAAATCAATTAAAAGCCAGACTGAAAAGGTAGATCTCGAGTTATTGATATTCTTCTTTAATAATTTGTTGATAAGGACAAAGTAAAAGAGGATGATTTGACATGATACAGACCTGGAACATGTCTGTGTTGCTGTCGTGGTTGTACTCCACCACCACCGTCTGCGCCCGGGACAGAGTGTATGATATACTGTGCTGCTCCTTGTTGCTGACGGCCTGAAGAAGAAACACAGGGAGAGATGTTCTGCTACAGGACGACTCCGGGATCAAACGCACAACCTCTAACAACTAAATCCCTTTAAACTGGGATCATATTTTATTCTCATTTCACTGCAGAAACAGAACTGATCAATAACGTTCACCTCAGTGTTTCCAGGCCTCCAGTCATTATACTATACTATACATTAAACTATTATTTATTATCTCAATACAGTCCAGCCCAAATACTGCAGTGTATAATATTATGGAATATCGGCTCAAGTCTGTTTGATAGTCGAACATTAATTTGATCATTTTTCAAGAGTTTTTGGGAGGAATGAGCCACTTCAACGGGTGCGTTGGCGCCTCACCTTGGCGGCCTGCGGCGTGCAGGACGTGTGGACGGTGCTGGGCTTCACACCGTTGGCTTTGTTTCTGCGGCACAGAGCGAAGCGGCTCTTCCTCCTCCCCTTGTCGCCGTTGGGCAGAGAGCCGTTACACCTGAACACACACCGTGAGAAATGTCTGTAAAATGACGGTAAGAGAAGATCCACACGCTCCTTAAACTGAACCTTCTTCAAACTCATGTCATGTCACCCTGCAGTGGCACAGTGCTGATGTGGGGGCTGACACAGTCTAAGGTCCCAGGCAGCTTCGTTTTTTTACGTCTGGAGACAATAATGTGAAGCAAACAAAAGGTCAGAAACCACGGCAGCTACTGCTTTCCTCTCTCTTGAGTCTTGTGGCCTCAGTCAGGAAGTCAGCTGCTTTCTTTACTGTGGTGGAGTTTCTCAACACACTTCTCCGGGTTCACAGTTCTGCTCCTTAAAGACAAAAACAAAACAAAAAACCTCCCAGAAGTGGGACAAACTCATTGCTTTTGCAAGTCACAAGGAAGTCTCACGTCTTGGCCGTGAAGTCACGAGTCAAGACCAACAGGTCCTCAGTCAAGTCCAGGTCCTGACTTTGTGTTTTGCTTCCTAAACACCTCACTATGTTCAGCAGTACACTATCAACAGATCAATATACAGAAATGACAAATGCTCAGTCATCAAATCGTTCCAGCAGCTAAAACCACAATCTCCTCTTCACATTTCGGTTTCTACGCACGTTCTACACTTCATCAGTCGTGCCTGCACCATGAGCTGATCTCTGAGCTGCAGGTGAGACGGCAAATACGTGTAAAACCCACATGTTTCTTTACAGGGAAACTCTGTGGGACAGAAAAAGCTGACGAGCAACAAGCGTTTGATTCAAAAGCAGGAAGTTGTGGTTATGTTGGTTTACAGTTTATCCAGCCGAGCCATCAGGACGCCTTTTTAAACACAACTTTAACTCGCCTGCATTTATTTGCCAAACAGCATGAAGGAGCATTATTCTCACTATTCTGAGCTGTGCAGCATGTGAACAGAGAATCCAGAGAGCTGAGTGTTCATGAAAAGTCAGTTTAGCTGGAGGTTATCTTCAGAGCCAGACTGCTGCCAGCCACAGGTCAAATAAACACTGGAGTTCAGTTCAGAGTCGGGCCATTCTTTTCACTGGATAATGCAAACTTCCTGTGTTTCAGATAAAGTAACGGCCGCCTCCTTTCTTAGACAAACTCAGACCACCCCACTGAACAACCTCTGTTTTCACTAACTACATGGCTCTTTAAAATTAAACCTTACGACCAGAGTAATTGTCGGTTGGAGACTCTCTCAGACTGTTTGAATCCACATGTGGCCACTGTAATACAAAAGCAAACAAAAGGTCTGAAGCCACAGCGGCCACAGCTTTCCTGACGTCCCCCGACCTCCCTGAACCACAGCCTCTCTCCTGTGTCCACACTGAATGGCCTTCAGTCAGCCGTGTTCGTTACTGTGGCCCAGTCTCTCAACACACTTCACCGGATGCAGTCGTTAAGTCATCCTGCTGCCAAACCAAACTACTGGATTGAGTTTCAACATGGACATAAATGATGGAAGGCACAGAGGTCAGCTGAAGGGATTTATCTTATTTATGTGGACAAATTCTTATCTAAACGTGTCAGACAAACAAAGACGTTCAGTTTTATCCGATCCAATCAGATCGAATGCTCAGACCACCAGCAGGGCTCGGGATAAAACCTCAGTACTTGTCTGGTACCAACCATAACGTGAGTCCAATGTTTCTGATACCAGGAACTGTCAAGTACAAAAAGCTGGCATCTTGTTTGATCATAAAACTCCTGATCGAAACACAAATTTTTCCAATTTTAGACAATTTTGTATCAGTAAAGTTCTTGTACGGCGTCTAATATCGAAGAACTTTGGGCTCATAGAGAAGCTTCAAACTACTGAGGTCAGTTTCAGTATTTAAAAACATCACACTCATCTGAGCTCGAATCATTAAACTGTGGATAATGTGTCCTGACAGAAATAAACCTTCCATCTTCTTCCCTCTACATGTTGACAAGGCGAGCAGCAGATCAGCATCACAACCTTTTCTTTTTATTATTTTTCTCCCCTAAAAGAGCAAAATTCAACAAAATCAGTGGGCGGGTCACAAATTCTATCAGCTACTCTTGGACCTGAAGGTGGCGCTGTAACAATAAATCTTACGTTTCACAAGCATCTCAGAAACAGCCTGCCTCAAGCCCCTTTTCCACTGGTCAAAAACCTGCTAAGTCAACAACGGAAAAGGGTTCATTCACACCTGGGTCACACGACTCACCCAGGTGAACCCGCTTGAGAAGAGGTTAATAGGCTTTTATTAGCCTGTCACAAAACTATAATCTTTATATAATTTATTTAAAAACACCAAATCAGCAATCAATTTTCATCAAAAGAAGTCATTTGGAAAAGAATTTGCAATAACTCATCAACCTGAAATTCGAGGTCTCACGAGGTTTCACTGTATTTCTCACTGAAGCACGGTGCTGTTCCCCTGAAGGGGACGCTGCAAATGCACAAATACATGTCACACATAACTGTAATCTTTATGTAACCAATGTAATCCAAATTAAGAGCAGATTCTGGCCAGATGTCATTAAACATATAACAAAGAATTTACCTTGTCTCGTGTTTTACTTCAACAATACAAACAGCAGCAGCTTAAAACAAAGTGGATGTGCAGCTCAACTCATTCTGAACTGGCTCTGTACATTAGTGTGGTGAGACGGCGGCTCCACAGCAGTTATCCCTTTGTTGCTTTATCTATTCAAAGCTGAGCTATCATCATGTAGTTATGTATTTATGAGCAGCGGCTGTTGCATTCATAGAACAATCATCTGCTATTTCAGAGTCAACCGTCAAAACCTTCTCACATGTGAGAAACGACCGAACTCATGTTGGTTATTGTCTTTGTTTGGTTACTCTCCGTCTTTTGGATGCTTTTCTTTTTCTGCAAGCTGATTCTTGATTATTGTGACAGTCCCTGAAAGCACCGCGATGAGTTTAAACACAGTCCTTTCTCACAATTGAATTACCACACAAGTTTCCTCACAGAAAGATGAAGCAGATTAAGCTCTCACTGTGGTGGATTATTTATCTACAGCAAGTTTTCACGTCTGTTGATTTTCATTCCAACTGCAGAATTAATCAAACTATAATCACCAACTTGTGGTTGTTTCCTCAACCAACCAGCCAAGTTACAGGAAACATGGTCACAATCTCTCCTTCCTGAGTTACATTGTTGAATAAGAAGTGTTTTTGAAGAACATTATGATGTCATAGTGACCTTTGACCATTTGGTGGTCAGCAGCTATGTGAAATGTTTGAGGGGCTTAAACTAGAATCACCTCATCATGGTGGTATCTCTCCGCCACTCAGACTAGTTTCAGGTTACACCCCTGTTTATCATGAGTCAGAGAAAATATTAAACATTCGTGTGAAAATTTCTGTGTGAAGTTTTGAGTTATGGCTAAAAAGTGTTTTGTGGGGTCACACTAGCCTTGACCTCTGACCACGAAAATCTAATCAGTTTGTCCTTAAGTCCAGGTGAATGTTTTTACCAAGGCGTTACGTTCACAAGACCAAAACCGTGTTTTGTGAGGTCACCGTTACCTTTGACCTTTGATCTTTAGCCACTAAAAATCTAATCAGTTCATCCTTGAGTCCTAGTGAATTTTTCTGCCATATTTGAAGGAGTTCAGTCAAGGTGTTACTGAGATATACACACAACCTGAAAACAAAATGGCTGCTGCTCTGACTGTCGCCGGCGTTAAGACATAATAAAAGCAAAACTGTAAAGCTGATGCTCTTAATGACAGATGTCTTCTCAAGCCTCGTGAGTGAACATCTTACCCCAGCACAATGAGCTCTCCATATTTGACCGGTCCTTTGGTGGAGGCGGGGGAGGTGGAGATGTTTTCCTGTCCGAGTGAAAACATCTGTGCGTCTTTCTGAGGAAGGGATGAAGGGTGAGGATTTTCCCGCTGTCTCCCTCAGAGCGTTTCCATCACCTGCACACACAACCAACACCAGTTTAGCAACTTCACACACACAGTTTCTGATGGTGAGGAATGATAAATATGTGAGAAGTGAATCATGTTTTTTAAGTTTCACTTTGAATATTTCATTTGAAATTTAAAACCCCTCCTCAGACATTCATACAAACACACGCAGGCTTCAAAGCTACATCATGAATTACTACAATACGCCCACACTGTCTTTGTGCTGGGAGCTGGGGGCAGCAGTGGCAGACAATATATGTATTCACCCAAGTACACTGAGTGGGGTTGTTAGGTGTAAAACAGGGTCATTTGCGTCCGTGACGGGGTGACTCACTTAGCAGCACGCTGGGACTGATGTTATAATCCTTTGTACCATGAGGAAAAAAATAACACAAGCCGAGCATTCATTCAGGAGCCCGGGCTCTGATGTCAAAAGGCTGGAGAGGACGCAACATCATCACAAATCTGCAAGTGAGAGGTCGTAACAACGAGCTCTGCTCTGATGAGGCTGATTTATTCATTTATTAGGGTTTGTTCAGGGTTTTAAAGTTTGTTGAGAAAACTCACAGCACGGACGATCAGACCTCTCTGACCGAGGAGCAGGAGCAACAATAAAGTCAGGAAAACACCAGAGGAGCTTCACAGGTGTGCAGTTCACCTGTACCACAGGAGGCAGAGAAGTAAAATGGTTTTTGAATATCTCTGAATAAATGAGCCTGTTGAGAAAATGAAAATGTTGTTTTACTGTTCTGTAGAGTCAATGTCCCTGTGTTGCTGCAGCGGGGCTAGCTCTATAATCTCGTATGTGACTGACTGACTGATCATATTTCCTCCACTTCTCAGTCGAGTGCTGAGCCGCAATCAACTGAGCCGCTCTGGTTTCCCAGCTGTTCAGGAACTGCAGGGAAGAAGAGGAGTGCTTCCAATACACTGAGCCTCGCCTCCATTACAACAAATAAACTACTTTGATTGCATGTATCATTATTACTAAAGGAGGCAGAGGAATAACTGAACATAAGACACGCTGAGCAGAGAGAGCAGGAGAGAGAGAGGTCATTGTGAACAAGGCCTCGTACTAACAACTATGACCATCAAACAGAGGGAGTTAGACATAAAGACCTGCCTAATAAAAGTCTCTTACGTTCTGGAGTTGAAGTAAATAAAGACTAATCTATTGTGGATCCAGACGGAGGCTGTGATCTGTGTCAGAGCGGAAATCACAGCTCAGTCTTTGTCTTTCGTTTATGTGTTTGGTGATTTTGTCAGACGACGTCACAGTTATAAAATCAGGATTTGACCAGAGGAGGTCCAGACATAGGTGTTGTCACAGGTGGCGTTTTCACCACCGGCTTAAAAAAAGTGAAAACCAAACTGTCTCCTAAACAGCAGCGACTATGAGCTCCTGTTTCCTGACGTCACCTCACACTGCTTACTTCACTTCAGGTTTTTCAACACTTTCCTCACAAAGTTGCTTTGTGAAACTTTAAATAATGTCAAGGTATGAGACATAAATAAATATGACAACAAAAATTTAATTCAACCTCGTTTTGCTGTGTCCTAAAGCCATCACACTGACAACGCCATCACTTCTTCCTACCAGATTTCAACATCTGTCAGTTTGCTATAATTAAGAGCTTCCATCAGATTTCCTTTTGTGTCAATCTGCCACTGACATTTCTTCATTTACACCTTTTCTGTGACAATATATGAGCTGTGTGGAAATTTGCATCAATCGCGGGTGAGAAAAACCTTCCCAAGCTGTTCCCATCATGGTGAGAAATATTATATATGTTGTGATTCTTGCAAAATTAATACAAAACATTCATTTTCCCCACTGACGAAACAGATTAGCTTCATATTTAGCTAATCCTAAAGTTTTAAATTCAGGTTCTTGAGACCATGTTGATGCTAAATTTTGAAGGCTATTAACAATCAAATTCATATTAATGCAGTTACATGGTCAAGAAAACACTAGCTTTTATTAATTTATTAGCCAAATAAAATTAGTCTGGACTCAGATGGAGAAAAAGAGTTACGCTTGCTTTGTGTTACTGAACATGGTGAATAGCAGGTTTAAGCAGGTTTAAGGTTTAAAACACTTGTGGTATGAGATTGACTGTGAAGCTGGTTTACAGCTGGTTGCCTGGTTCCACAGAGACTCCAGATAAAATCAAAATGATTTGAGTCACAGGAAAAAAACAACATCAAGAGTTCCTTAGATCGCAGCAGGAAACTGTACAAGAAACTGTAAGACACGTTAGGATGTGGCATATACCAGCTTAACGATGAAGAGATGTTGATGATGATAATCACACCGCTGTGTTACCATGTTTTGAGAAACGAGAGAGCTGAAGGTTCCAAAGCTGATTGTTGCTGCCTCACAACAGCTGTCTGATTTCACAGTTTCTGCTGCTTTTTAATATCAGGCAGAATAATGTCATTTAATCTTCATCACACTTCTGTCAGCTCTTCTCATCTGCGTATAACAACAATTCCTAATAATATCATTAATACAATTAATCAGAGCTATTTGTAAGTTTTGCTATAGCTACATACCCAGCGTTAGCATTAACAGCAGTTTTCTTACGAGTCTTACCAACAGTTTCGGCCATCATTGCGTTTAGATCATAGGCTGTAAATAAAGATGGACGTAGCCTCTGTGACGTCACCCACAGGTTTCTGAAGAACGGTTTTGAAGCTCAGAGTGAGCTGCACCACCGTTGCCATCTTGACTGACTCCGCCCCTAACTCCCAGCTAATCCAAATATGGGCAAAGAGGTGAGTTTTAACATGGGGATTGACTCACTGTTGTAGACAGACTCTAGGGGTCATTAGAGGAACTGCAGGTTTTGGTTTTCAAGTGTTGATGCTTAATTTTTACTCTTCAGGACAGACTGGATGCTACAGTGACTCGGTATCAGAAAGTGACCAGGTGATCCTACCAGCCTGGGGCTAGCTGGTTAGCATGCTATCTTCAGTAGATAAAAAGAAGTGATAGAAACAGAAGCAAAACAAAAGGGTTGATTTCCACCTCTGGTTTGATGTCGAACTCGTTTAATTAAACTGGTAAGTAAACAGCTGTTAATGCAAACGTTAGCAATAGCAAAACTTACAAATAGCTCCTTTAAGCAGTCACTGAAAACCGATTTCCTGTTCTAAACTCTTCAGCCCTGCTGGAAGTGTTAAGTGGGAGATCTGGTGGGTTCAGTGGGTTAAAGTTCAAGATATTTATAGTAACACATATGTATGATGAAAAGAGATGCACCTCCCTGACCGGCCTCGCCCCTCCATCATGACCAGAGTTTATTTCAAAGGCTGTGAATACAGGACCAGTGAAGTGCAGGCGGACAGAGACCCATTCACTGCCTGTAACCGGACACCAGATGAGGAGGATGACTTCTAAAGTGACTTCACTCCTTGGAAACAACCGCTCTGTTGTGCATCTCTTTCCTCTCGTGACGGCGACACAGCGGCCCGCACGGTCTGACATGGAGGTGAATCACACGTTGCGGCTCAAAGCTGATTTTATCCTTCTCTTGTGACTCAGATCTCATGGTTTCCAATCAGCCTGAACAGCACAGAGCTCCATGGAGATGAGGTTCACTCCACGACCTAGTTTTGACTAGTCTGTCTCAACATCACTGATGCCATTATTGATATTTTTACAATTCTTTTACTGCGTTGTCTGTTCTGCTCCTACTCTTATCGTTCTATAGTCATGCTCAGAGATGGGGTTCAGCAGCATTTTATCAAATCTGAATCCTTTCTAATCTCTCATCAAATCTATTCAGTGCAATGTTGACTCTAAAAATAAAAGCTAACTGCAGATTAATAAGCTTCATTTAAGCCTGATAATATGGAATATCACGATATTTCCCACCATATGTAATATTGTCCTGCTAAAGAGATCCAGTCCTCCGGTACTGTTCACCTCTTAGCAGCCTGAGTAGATGCGCTAACTATTTTTGGCTGATCAGACCTCTGTCATCTCACAGCTAAAATAATCAGAATCACCTGCGTAAGTTTTTTTAAACCATTATAACATATTAGCATACGAAACGTTTGATTACACATATGTTTCACAAGTTAACAAGTTTATTAATTTACTTATTTAACTTATGAAACTGACATACTGTAAAGCAGTGGTCCTCAACCACCGGGCCGTGGACCGCTAACTGGCTGCACGGAAAGGACAAATTAATTCATACTTTTTTCAATCAGTAAAATACAACAATTGCCTGATAATAGACTATTTAAGGGTACTGCGATTAGTCGCCATGTGGCCAGTCACTATTAACCACCATTTGTTACAACCTAAAGTACAAAATAAACCGCCAGATACAAACTCGCCAACGTGCAGCACTAACAAGTGTAATTCCAGCTTTAGGTGTCTTGTTGTAGGACTTTGTTATCTCCAGTAGTGACTGACAAACCAGCTCACCAAAAGAGGGCTACACAAGCCCAGTGTGTTTTCACATGAGCCCTGAAGAGGAAATACCCCTCCACCACCATCAGCAGCCTACACACTCACACACACCTAACCCGGTTCACCATGGCAACAGACAGAGATAAAGAGTGTGCGGCTGCAAAGTGTCAGTGAGCAGCCTGTCAAACACATCACACTGCCTCTATAACAAGGCGGAGTGTGTGTGTGTGTGTGTGTGTGTGTGTGTGTGTGTGTTGGGTGAAGGGGGTTAAAGGGGTTAAAGGGTGCTTACGTACACACTAATAATTCAATTATGAGCTGATTGAGGAAACAGTTCCATTGTTGCACCATGTAAACGATTTGAATTTAAATAGATTACTTGAGACGAGTTAGGATCAAAACTTGGGCGGATAATCAGATTAACAACCAGCTGGTTAGTCATCAATCTTTGAATGAAAAGATGTAAAGCTGTGCTGGAGGATTTTAACAAAGATCAGCGTTGTAATAACTCATTATAATTAGGTTTTAGTAATTTCACATTTTTCATTTTTGCCAAATATTAGGTCATGTGTTTTTTTATGCTAAGGGGACATGCCACTCAAATCCTGATGAATGTTGTGATTAATTTTTTCTTATTAACAATAGGCACATTATTTATGATGGCTATTTCTATGAATAGTTTATGTACTTCTTTTCACAGAGGGTTAATGTTATATTTCTCTTTTTTGTGGTTAGTGTTAGCAGAAGTAGTCCCATCTCCACTATGAAAAACAGGAAACCATATATTTATATTGTGATACTTGTTCTCAAAGAGGACCGACAGCTTCCACTGTGACCATCACTTCTGTTCACACTGCTCTGCTTTAATCCACCCAGGCGAAACTTTCTCCAGGTTCTAGGTCAGCAATTGCGTGTGGACAAGAGGGTTAACGGTGTCTATAAGCCTTTAATATGAGCGGACAGTTGGGACAAAAAAGGGACAAATTTCAAGTTTTAAACGGGGGAACAAAAGCAGCGTCTGCGGGGACAGATGCTCTGGTAGGATGGTGCATGCTAATCAGTTTGTGTGGCCAGAACAAAAGAGGCCAGCTGGGCTACACAGACCCGGACAGACCGGCCTGTCATCCACAACCACTGCTGGAGCCCTGTTTAGGAACAATATACTACATATACACAGGGGTCCAAAAGTCTGAGACCACTTTCCCAGTCACTTGAATGGGATAGTACTTGGGATAACATATAATTACCCTGTAATTGGTAAATAGCAAGGAGTATTTTGGGATAATATATTATGTACTTTATATATAGCATTTATACTCTCTACAGTGGCTAATTAGCAAAGTTAAACTTACTTCAGAACCCACTATCACTATATATATATATATATATATATATATATATATTATAGTGACACGTTGGGAAGCAAGAAAAACGAAAAACGAAAAAAAAAAAAGAAAGAAAAACATTTAACAATAGACTGACACATTAAAAGTCACTATAGGTACATTACAGTGGTACTTATCTAAGTGTTCTAATAATATAATGCCAAATATAAAGATAGCAAATACCACAAATTATCTTAAACTTAGTGGCAATCACATACAGCGTTAAACCACATAACATTAATGTAAGTACATGAGTGTTATGGGATTTTTTTGAGAGGAAAAAACAAACTTATTTGCCTTTTAAAACATATAATTATGAATGTTTAAATTAGATAAAGAATGAAAAATATCCGGTAACGATGGTAAAACAACTCGCTGTTAAAACAGTTAGCTAGTTAACGTTGACGTGTATGAATTTCGGTCAGTTAAAAGTTAAGAACTGAAACAGAAGTTCATCTGTTAGCTTACCATCATGTTATTTAGCATGTTTTTTTTTAGGGGAACACGTTTTATGGTCGGTAACGTTAATGAGAATGAAGATAAACTGTCTTTTTTAAAACAACAAACTTACCGAAGTTGAAGTTACTGTTCGCCCTAAAGCCTTTTCATGTCCCGTATGTCTCCGTTCCGGTTCCCGACGGTTTAACGGCTTCTCAACAGAAAAATGTATTTGCTATTTAAAGAGTCTACCGGTAGTTTTAACGAGTTTTCATCGGTAGATGACTATATCGAGTCAAACCTCAGTGAGGTTTTGCTTCTTCTCTGCACCGAGTCCAACTAAACTGCTGTCCTGGTCTGGACAAGCCTTCGGTTAAAGCCGTACCTACTTCCGTTAAGCTTTTCAAAATAAAACGAGTACCTTTAGCATTTGCGTTTAAAAAACTGACTGATGTTCGGAGTTGGGTGATATTAGTATATTATAAGAACAAGTAAAAAATAGTCATGTTAAACTGCCAATGTCTTGTTTGCTCATCCTTTTAGCTTGGTTATGACCAGACTGTGAGAATCACCATAGGATAAAAAGCGTTGTGTTTGATTTCGACCTTTGGACCTCTAGACAAGGCGTTTAAACGTTTTAAGTTAACTAGCCCAACTAGCTTAACTAGTTCACGTCTAAACGATAAAACAGTGTTATTAAGCAGTGGCAAATATATTTCTGTAACTTTCTGGATTAAAATCAAACGATGGAACTTTAAATATCTTTTAGTTATAGCTTAATAATGTGCAGCTATTGATCAGATCATATCACAGTGTGTGTATATATATACAGCTCTGGGAAAAATTAAGAGACCACTGCATACATTTTACATGTATGACAGCCATTCCATTCCAGTGTCTGTTGAATTCCAACACAAGCACACCTCATTCTACTTAATGAGGTACTGATTAGGTGATCACCTGAACCAAATCTTATTTAATGAGGAAAAGTATAAAAACCACTGCTGTGGTCATCACTATCCTCTTGCAATAGGACCAGCTAGATGCCAAAAACAGTGCTAGTAGTACCTCAAAAGTAATTGGAATCAAAAAAGTAACTATTGACCATACCAAAAGAGTTGAAGAGAAGAGGGATACAGTGAGCAAGGTCAAGCAGCAGACATTGGGGACAACGAAGCTACAGACCGGCAGAGCATGAAAATGACTCTCCACTGACTGGGATGACCGTCAACTCATTCACATGCCACTCAGCAACCATAGGATGACATCAAGCGACCTACAAAGAGAATGGCACGTGGCAGCTGGTGTGAAGTGCACGGTGAGAACGGTTCGAAACAGGCTCCTAGGGGCAGGGCTCAAGTCGTGTACAGCTAGAAAAAAGCCCTTCATCAATGAGAAGCAAAGAAGAGCCAGGCTGAGGTTTGCAAAAGACCATATGGATTGGACCATAGAGTACTGGAGTAAGGTCATCCTCTCTGATGAGTCCAATTTTCGGGCAGATTTGTCTTTGCGAAGGACGCATGAATCAAGCCACGTACAAGGTTATCCTGGAAGAAAACTTCCTTCCTTCTGCTCTGACAATGTTCCCCGACTCTGAGGATTGTTTTTTCCAGCAGGACAATGCTCCATGCCACACAGCTAAGTCAATCAAGGTGTGGATGAAGGACCACCAGATCAAGACCCTGTCATGGCCAGCCCAATCTCCAGACCTGAACCCCATTGAAAACCTCTGGAATGTGATCAAGAGGAAGATGGATGGTCACAAGCCATCGGACAAAGCTGAGCTGCTTGAATCTTTGCGCCAGGAGTGGCATAAAGTCACACAACAGCAAAGTGAAAGACTGGTGGAGAGCATGCCAAGACGCATGAAAGCTGTGATTGACAATCAGGGTTATTCCACCAAATATTGACTTCTGAACTCTTCCCAAGTTAAAACATTAGTATTACGTTGTTTATAAATAAATATGAACTTGTTTTCTTTGCATTATTTGAGGTCTGAAAACACTGCATCTTTTTTGTTATTTTAACCATTTGTCATCTTCTGTAAGTAAATGCTCTAAATGAAAATATTTTTATTTGGAATTTGGGAGAAATGTTGTCAGTAGTTGATAGAATAAAACAAAACTGTTCATTTTACTCAAACACATACCTATAAATAGTAACATCAGAGAAACTGATAATTTTGTAGTGGTCTCTTAATTTATTCCAGAGCTGTAGATATATATATATATATAAAAGGAGATGAAAAGGAGATGAAAACTATGAGTGCAACAGATAAAAGATAATGTCAGAAGACCCACTCAAGTTGTTAGGGACACTTTTTTCTATATTAGTTAATAATTGTTTTAATGATCAATCTAAAACAGTATTTTATTTGTCACCAATCAATAAATCAGTCTATTGTCCATGTGTTTAATTCAGCCTAATATTAAGTGATTAATTATTTTAATAATTTAAGATAAAGAAATATATATCACATCAGTCCTGAGTTTATTTTCAGGAATGTGAATCCATGTGACTTCAGTTGTTTTTTTTCACATGGCCTTGAACGCACCCCTGCCGTGCTTTGTGTTTACAGCGGAGCCCCGCCCCCTCTCCAGCCTTCCTGTTACTACATACTGTGGGCGCGCGGGACTCTCAAACTCACTGCCAGCGTTTCATTCATTCAAGCTGACCACCGGTCAACCTGCTGGAACCGCGGGAATCCCGCCTCGACTCTCAGGTGAGCTCTCCCTGCCTCGTGTTTATCACTACTACTACGCTATTACTGCTAAACCTGGTGATTTTCAAAATGGAGTTCCGAGTGGGTTTATTTCACGTTTCCTTCGTGACCGTGTTCTCTGTAGTTTGATAGTCTGTCCAACGTTTAGGCGCGCGAACGAAAGAAGGCGCGTAAATGAAACATTCCAGGTGAATTAAATGTTACTGACAGTTTTAGTAGCCAGGTGGACAGTCCGTTAGGCTGCTGTTATTACATATATTTGATTTACAATTCAAACTCAGCGACCACGTGTTGACATTTTATATATTTTTGTGACTTTCATTTTGAGTTCAGAAGCTGCTGCTCTACTTCAGTCAGTTATAGTTACTGACTCATGACACAAATAGAATCTAATACATTAAATAACAAACGTATGTTGCCTTCACTGTTTTAAGAAGCTTTTCCTGCCCTGGCTCTGCCATGTGGAGATGAGGCAAGATGATGAGTCATAACAGTGAAATAGTGAAAGTCCGACATGTGACGGCGCTGGAACAGGAACAGCACCATAGATACAGTACAGACTCACACCGAGCTGAAATGAAACCTACACTGGTTAAATAACATTTTATTTATTTATTTTATTTTTCATGTTTCCCCATTTAGAAATGGGTGTGATGTCAGGTGTATGCTTATACACCTGAATACAACTTAAAAGTAATTTAAAGGCAGAGGTGGACAAAGTTCACAGCTCCAATACTTGAGTGAAAGTACAGATCCTGCTCAAATATGACTCCAACACAAGTGAAAGTTGTTCATTCATATTTTTTACTTGAGTTAATGTAACAGAGTACTTGATTTTAAAAGTACAGTGTATTTACAGAACCTATTGACTGAAACAAGCTACTGAATACACTGACCTTGTAGAACATGTAGAATAAAAAGCTTGTATAAATATGCTACAAGGTTTATAGAAATAGCCATTAAAACACAATTGAATCAACAATTAATAAATTGCCGTTTTACAGCAAACATTTCAAACAAGAATCTTTTTTTTTTCTAAATGTGTCAAACATGGACTTCAGATCTGGTGCTGACTCTTCTGCCTCACCTTTACCTAACGTAGCATCGTTAGGACTGAATACAGTGTTTGGTCTATAGCATTTTCAAAATGAAATAAGAGTATTTCATAGAGATGTAGTAAGTCACAAGTTTCAAGCAAAGTACAGATACATGAAAAATATACTCAAGTACTGTACCCAAGTAAATGTATTTCCTTACTGTGCGACCCTGTTTAATGGGCTCTAAACAATAACCCTGCAGGACAAAGACAGGAAGTGAAATAACAACAAGACACACAAGGGAAGTAATTCCAAAATAAAACCAAAAGTCCAAACCAAGAGTCAAAAGTTGAAAAGTGTTCAAACACAACGTGTCCATCAGGAGAAACCATGACGTGATGTGACCAAAAACAAATCTTAATCCAAAGGCCACCCACCGTCTTCTTCCAGGAGCTTTCTACTGCACATCATGGTCTTCATCAGCAGATCGATGTTGCTCACATTACCTGCTTATTTTATGTGAATCTTTTGAGTTATGACTTGATTTTTAAAGCAGCGTTTCCTCGGGTCAAATAATTGAAGGGATGAAGAGATGAAGTCAAACTGCATCTGAAGCACATATGTCACACACAGTATATATTTAACAAAAACAAACTGGAGACCTAACTTTTAATTGATTTTTTCTTTATTTATCCGTCAGTTTATTTATACATTTGAAGCTGTTTTATTGGCATGTCATTTTATTCTATGTTTATTTTCTGGATCGTTTTCCTTTTAATACCCTACTTTTATTTCTGGTTATTTGTTTTATTTCCACTGTATTTCTGGTTTGACTCACTTCCAAACATCTCCTCTCTTTAAATATTTAATTATTTCATCTTTATCGCTCTATCTTTATCTTTGTTTTCCAGTCTTCGGTGTTTCCTCAGTTCCTGTTGTTATTGTCTTATTTATTTTTTCACTGACTCAGTGATAAAATGGACTTTAGGTTTATTTTCATATTATTACATGTACAACATGTTGTAGAAACACATCAACAACAGAGCCTTGTCTGGACTTCTGTGCAGAAACAACAGGATGTGGAACAAGGAGAAGCAGAGTCCACCTGCTGACCGGTGAGTTGGATGTTTTGTAATAAAGTAATAATAGAAAACACTTTAATAACTAACTACAGTTCATATAAACCTTCAGGTGTTTTGCCTCCTCAGGGGCCATGCCGTCGCCCTCATCATCTTCTTACTCGGTTTGGGAACTCTGCTGCCGTGGAACTTCTTCATCACGGCCTCCCAGGTTTCCCGCCCACGCCTTCACCTTCATGTTACACAGAAAGAAAGTGTTTGTGCGTCCTGTGGAGACACTTTGGTTTTTTAAATCAAACTTTATTTTCTTCTTTTTCTTCCTCTTTAAGTATTTTAACGGACGCCTCATGGTTGCCAACGCCACCTCTAACGCCACGTCAGGCGGCGCCACTAAAGATTACAACTATGACAGCTGGATGGCTTTGCTTTCCCAGCTGCCCCTGCTGCTCTTCACGCTGCTCAACTCTTTCCTGTATCAGTGGTCAGTTAATCACAACTTTATTTAAACAATAAAACACGAACAAACTTGTTTCTGGTTGATGATGAATATGTTTTTTCTTTCTGTCTTCTCGCTGCAGGGTGAAGGAGCGCGTCCGTGTGGCCTTCAGCCTCATCATCATCTTCTTCCTCTTCTCCCTCACTGCTGCTCTGGTCGAGGTCAACATGCAGCCGGACACCTTCTTCTCTGTCACCATGGCAACCGTCTGGTTCATCAACAGTGAGTCCGTACACAGATTATCGTGTGATCCCCTCTGATGACGGTCCGCGTCTGTTACAATAATGATGATGTTAATCATAAGGAATGTGTTTCTGCGTGTGCAGTGTTTGGCGCCGTGCTGCAGAGCAGTCTGTTCGGCGTGGTCGGCCTGTTCCCTCCTCGTTACAGCACTCTGTTCATGAGCGGTCAGGGTCTGGCCGGGATCTTCGCCGCCGTCGCCATGCTCTGCTCCATCCTCAGTGAGTTCCAGCCCGACCTCACCCCGCTGCAACAAACATTTCAACAAACCTTCAGCATCCTTCTTCATTCTAAAGATACGTGTGGTTAAATAGTGAACACAGTCAGTGACGGGAGAAGATCAGGGACACGTGAACTTTAATCTCAGAATTATGAGAATCATATAAAAAATAATAATAATGTTTTCTAGAGAGTCCGAATTCTCGGGGGAAAAATTCAGATCATAATGTGATTTTTTTTTTTTTTTTTTTTAAGAAAGTCAGAATTCTGAGAAAGAAGTCAGAATTATAAAAAGATAAATAAATAACGGCCCTAATCCTCTTCTGCAGATTTACACACTTTTTCAGACAAGCACACAAAGAACAGGTCTGGCAGGATAACTAAATTAAATACCTTAAATGTGTCAGGAAATGAATAGATAGCATTTAAATTACATTTAGAGGCAAACTAACTCTGAACATCTGGGAGTGTCTGTGTGGATTCTGTGGGGAATGAAAAGGAGCTGAGGCGTCTCGTCTCCTGCAGGTAACGCAGACAGAAACTCGGCAGCGCTGGGATACTTCATCACTCCCTGTGTGGCCACCCTGGGGACTCTGCTCTGCTACCTGCTGCTGCCACACCTGGTGAGGACACGGCACACACACCTATCTAAACAACAGGAAGTGATCAGAGTGAATCTGATGTATAATTTAATATAAACCTAAATTGGTCTTTTGGAAATAAACGTGTCGCTGCTGCAGCTGCTAACTCGGCCTCCACAGCTGAAATATTAAAACTACCAGTTAACAGCTTTTTCTTTTCTATAAATTAGATTTTATTCTACTTGGAATTAAACTTTGAAGTAATGAACCAAAACTTTCCACATGTTTTATCTTTTATCTGTTCTGCTCGGCAGGAGTTTGCTCGTTTTTACCTGAACAGGAGTCAGTCTGATAAAGTGGACACGTCGAAGGAACTCCTCAGCAGCACAGGTCGGTTTCCAGTCAGCTGATTTCAGCCAAAAGATTCAATTTAAATTAAATAAATAAAACGAAGAGACTGACTTGTTCATGTTCTTTTCTTTTTGAAGAGAAAAAAGATCTGGAAGCCAAAGGGAAGTTCGTGGGTGAGTCAGAGGAGAGTCAGGAGCGCTCGTCTGTCCTCGCCGTCTTCAAAAAGGTGAAACTTCATGACGACTCCTGACTGATTTAAAGAGAATGAATCTATATTTGTGGATCTGGGCTTCAGTCCGTCAGACAAGGATTTCCAGAACAGCTGCTCTGTTGTTGCTGTGGCTGGTTAATGAAACCCTCCTGTGTGTCGCAGATCTGGTTGATGGCTCTGTGTGTGACGTGTGTGTTTGCCGTCACCCTGTCGGTGTTTCCCGTCATCACAGTCCGAGTGCAGACCGTCTACAAGGACAACGAAGCCTGGAGTGAGACTAGACACCATTTTTTGGGGGGGCTTATGGGAAATGTAGTAGAGGACAGTAGCTCACAAACAGAAACCAAACTGTTCAGCTGCTTTGTTTAAAAACTCAGTCAGCTTTGTTTTGAAAATCAAAAACAGTAACTTCATTAAAGTGATGTGATATTAGTCACTCACTCTCTCTCTCTCTCTCTCTCTCTCTCTCTCTGTCTCTCTCTCTCTCTCTCTGTCTCTCTCTCTGTCTCTCTCTCTCTCTCTCTCTCTCTCTCTCTCTAACAGAACAAGTGTTCACCTGTGTTTGCTGCTTCATTGTTTTCAACGCCATGGACCTGGTGGGTCGCAGCGCCCCGTCTCTCGTCCAGTGGGTGAGTCTGCAGCTGGTTGGTTTATTCATAAAAAAAAAAATAAAGCTGAGTCTATGTTGTCAAAAGAAGATTCTGATTTCTAAACGACTGCTTCCGACTGTTGATGTTGCAGCCGTCGAAGGAGAGCCGCCTGTTTCCCGTGGCCGTGCTGTCGCGTCTGGTCTTCATCCCTCTGCTCATGCTGTGTAACGTGGAGAACCCCAGACTCACCGTCCTCTTCACTCACGACTGCGCCTTCGTCACCATCATGGCTCTGTTCTCCTTCTCCAACGGCTACCTGGCGAGCCTCTGCATGGCCTACGCTCCGCAGTGAGTCTTCGGCAGGACGGAGGCATGCTGGGAAATCCTGTCAGCCTCAGCTTTTTTTAGAGTCATTCTAACATTGCCTGCTAATGAAACATTAGCAATGAGCTCAAAGCTCAGCTGAGTGTGATAAATGCATCTTAGACCAGTGGTTCAGAACCAAACGCTGCTCAGAACATTCAGGACTCCACATCCGTCTCTTGACTTTCCTTTTATTTCCTCTTGCTAGCCAGTGCCTTACATTACAGTACCTGTGGAGGCCTAAAGCTGCTATTATAATAAACAGATACACGATTAAATAAATGACTAAATAAATAATAGTTTACATGTGTGCTGCAGTGGTTTGGTTATACAGATATACTGTGGTGTTCATGAGACGGGCGTTTCAAAATGTCCTCACTTTGTTTAGTTTTTTTAACATGATAATTCTTGAGGATGACAGAAGTCGTCTCAGTCTGGATGGTCAGCTGAAATTCATTATGCTGGTTGTAATGGTGTGTGTCTGTCCGTCAGGTTGGTGCGGTACAAGGACTGTGAGACGGCCGGTTCTCTGATGACCTTCTTCCTGGTCCTGGGTCTAGCTGTGGGAGCGTCTTTCTCCTTCCTACTGGGAAAACTGGTGACGGCTTGACCTCACGAAACTTTTACTGATCCTCGTTAGGAAACTTTGGTCACTATCAAAAAAAAAAAGGGAAACACCACGTGTGATTGAAGTGTCATTTTTAATCTCTTAAAAAAAAAAAAAAATGAACCAGAGTAAGAACACTTTGTATTAAGACTTTTATTTTGTTAACACATTCAGAAACATATCTGCATTTTTGCAAACTTTATTTTTAGTCCAAATACTGGTTAGAAAAAATGACAGAAACCTTCACAGAGTAATTTCATTGAAAAACATGTGGAGCAACCCGAGTGTATTGTTAAGTAAACTGTTCATGGATTATTGAAGGGAAAGTTTATTAGTTTGTAAATCATTTTTGACACGTTTGTAACTTGTGTCTGCAGCTATTTTCAGTTTTATTTAAAGTCTTTTTATTTTTATGACACAAATTATTGATATGTGCTTTTTTTTGTGGATATATTGATCAACTTAAATCACATATAAATCATGTAACTGTATCCCTGCTTTTTATTGTGAAAACATGACCATTTCAAAAGCAGCACAGGATTTCCAGTTGACACTGTTTTCCCCTCACAGCTGTCACAGCTAAAATCAACCATTTTCTCCTTTGGTGCCTTGCTTTATGACAGCAGTGCTTACATCACAGCGACACAGCGCTCCTATTGGCTGTAAAGGAAGCTGTGTTGCTGGCTGACAGGTCAACAGATTAACAGAAGCCACACACTGAATTTATACCTTATGTTACTGTTTTTAAAAATTATTCTTGTTGTAATTTATCTTGTTTTGTGTTATGAACTGTTTTTTATATTGACTTGTTTTATATCTTTTTATAGCATACTGTTGTGCCTGTTTGTATTGATTCTGTATCAGTTTGTTTTTATACCTGAAAACATTTTTATTCCTTGCTTGTGTATGTGTGTTTTTGTACCTTTTTTTTTTTTAATAATATGGCAGTACTCAAGTCTAACAGCAGGGGGCAGCAGAGTCTAGTCTGATGAGTAAGAGAAGATGAAGAGTTCGACCAATCACAGCGCTGGGTTCAAATGGGAAGTGGGAAAACCATGGACTGTATATAAAAATGGACATCGACTCCGGGTCTAGAAAAGGAAGCCAATGCGGAAGTGCCTTAAACTTGCATTCTATTGAATATCCATCAGGGCGCCACTCCACTGGCTGCAAAAAGTCCGACTGTATTGAATTCTATGGGGAAATGACCCTACTGACCCTGAGTCTCTAGTTTGAAGTTTCCTTCAACACAACATGATGTTCATTTTTCAAATTATGGTCCTATTTAACAGAAAATAGACGTTAAAGCAGAGTGGCTTTGGGGCGTGGCTACCACGTCATTGACACACAGAGGGACCTGCCTGTTAATCCGGATATGACGTCAGAGCGATGTGTCGGACATTTGACTTGTCATTGTGTTTTCAGTTCATCAAAGTTAGCTCCAACGTGTCTGTAAATGTCTTGTTCTGCGTTCAGTTGTTCTCAAAGACACTCAGAGGAGTCGCGGTTCAGTTTTTCCCGGTTAGTACTGTGAGGATCGGCCGAGCAGCCAGACACATGAAACAGGACTCAGCAGTCCCAGTGAATTTTATTTATAGCAGTGGAGTCCCGTGCAGATATTTACAGGAAAAAGGAAGAATGGCTGGACAAAAATGAAGAAAAAACAAACAAACAAAAATTGTCTTCTTCAACAGTTCACATGGACAGCAATATTCAAATACAACACATTATCAATGATAAATTAATTTAAGTCCATTTAAAATATGTTACCCTTGACCCTTGACTGACACAAAACACCCCTCCCTCTCTGCCGCACTTGGTCTCCTCCTCTGGGAACCCCTCTACTTAACACATTGGACTGCTCCACCTCAGGTTTGCCAGCTCCTGGTCTGTGGCAGAGGAGGAGACAGGTGCGACACAGAGGACAGGTGAAACACACTTTGTGGTGCATGTCAACGTTAGCAAGTACTATACTTTAATACAATGTTAGATAAAATATCCAACCACACAGCAGGATGGAGGAGAGAGACCTGCTCTGTGTGTGAGCACGTGTGCCTCACTTTACGGCATGTGGTTTCCCCATGACAAGTACATTTTGGTTTCAGCCTGTTTCTTTGCTAGCCGTTAGCATCCCTGTTGATATCACAGTTCAGGTGAAGATGCACCTTGCTAACCAAGCTAGCCAGCTAGTGCTAGCGCTAGCTGATAACTTAGCGATTGCTATGCTAACGGTACCTGGCCCCGCTGGGCTGATAACCTGTGTCAACCTGGGTTAGCCCGTGGAGGTGTTCAGTCAAAGCCCAATAAAAAGGTGAATTTAATCGACGTTAATCTAACGACATTTGGTTTGTGTTTCTCCACGTGACCCAGTTTAAGTGATCTGCGTTAGTGTAATGCGCAGCGTTAATGTTGGTTAATACATTGTCCATCAAGACTTCGTGATAGTTCAAGTTAAGATAACGTGACGTTTACAAAATGTGTAGACAGATATTTGTCTTATAGAAGATTGTTGATTTAATACTCAAACCAGTCCTCAACTGAAGCAGACATTCATGCACCTATCCTGACAGCTGATCGATATTTGTGATTAACTGTGATCAGCCGCATCTTAACTCAAGTGTTTGTGTTTTATTGTCATTTGAAAGGTTTCCACACTGTGAAAACTGAGTGATCTGTGCCAACAGAAGGAGGACCTCATGTACAGAGCAGCCCATTTGTTTCCATTCATCTGGTTGTGGAGAAGGGAGACTGCATGGACATCCTTAGTTCTCTAATGTGCTGTGATGATGATGATGGTAGAAAACCTCTCCCAGTTCAGCTTCCTCTGATGAAATGACAGACTAACTGCTGATGAGTTAGTTTATTATTCTCTGTCTTCAGGATTCACAGGTTCAGTTTCTTACCTGCAGCTTCACTTCTGCTGTTGTTGACAGGTGATGGTAGCAACACTTTTAAGATCAGAATTTATAAATATTAAACTGTGGTTAAGTGATGGATCATCTCTAGCACTGTCACCACCTCCACAGGTGAAAGTGTTTACCAGTTAACATCAACATGTTTTTTGATCCTTCATTGTCAGTGTTGCCGGACACCATTTAAACATTTCTAGTATTTGTGTTATTGATTAAAGCTAACATAGAAATAGTCACACAATGCTGTACATGTTACTATTAAAATTCATACCAGATGTGTTCTATAAAAACCATCAACAAAGTTAAAGCAAGAGCTTCATAAATAACTTTATTGGACATTATAAACTACATGAATTTAAACAATTTACAACACTGGAAACATGTATAAAAGAATGTAATAAATGGATTAATTAAATACTGTAGTGTACAATTTACAATCAACTATTTAAAATTGAAAAATAGTTGATTAAGTTAAAGCTGAATTTCACTGTCATATGTAAGTTTGCTTAATAAAAAGAGGTAGATGAATCAACAGTGCAACAGAATCTTTAGTAACAAGTATAATCATTATTCATCATGAGTCCTAATGTGTGAGACAGTTCATATTTATTTGTTCCAGTAACAATCTCCCTCTAAATAAGTGATGCTGTTTGAACAGCACACTGATATTAACTATAATGGCTGAGGACTATGAAATATGAACTCTAATGTTTTAAACTATTGACAGTTTGTTACAGCTACAGTGGAGTCCAAAAGTCATGTGATTGTATGTCTGACATGGGGCAGAGAGTGTAATACGACAGTGAGGGTGTAGGGAACCAGGAAGAGCACAGCTGATCAGACTGAACAATGTTGTGGCCACAAGTGTTACATTAAAAAATACTATATTATCATATAAGACACTGTGTTTATGTTTGGGAAGAGAAGATCTTCATGTGAGGACACTGCAGGTGGAGGTGGTGCAGGGCCTCCATCATGCCGCTGGCAAGAGGTTGTAGGCGTCCCCAAAGATCCAGACCTTGGCTGGATGGAAAAAACATTATAATAGAGAGAAATCATATCAATATCATATTGTAGAGTACAGAGAAAAAGACAAAAGAAACAGCACTCTGATTAGATGATCACAGATATCTGGAATAATTTATTCCAATCGCCAATGGTATTAAATGAGACAGTTCGGTCTCCTGGTGATGTTGTCCTTCAACCCCTCCCTCAAGTGAAGGCATAACTGGCATGAAATGTGACAGTAGCTAATATAAAATATATCCCTGTCTAGACTTACCTCTCTGCATCCCTTTGGGAAAGAAAGGCACGATCCGTTTTGTTGTCATTAACAGCCTGTTTGCTGCACAAAGCTCGGGAATTTTAACACTAATTGATGGATGACTTGTCCCTGTCGGAGCAGAGAGGAGGAGCCTCTGACTCCACGGCTTCTCCTATTGGTGCAGCAATGATCCAGCAGCCCTCACCACAGCTGTTGCCGTTTAAGCATCAGAGGAAGAGAGTTTAAAGAGCCGCCCGCACATCATTAGTGGCGGCTGACATGATCGGCAGCTCGCCTCTGTTACCGCTTTGTGAACATGTTGGTGTGTAATTTGTGATTTGGTTTGAGATGCTGTGTTGATTGTTGGGGACTGGCTAGGTTTATAAATTCTGTTGTGCAATCTCACCCTTAGAAAAAGACTGTTGGACACATTAGGAACAGGGGTGCTGCTTCTTGTGTTTTGGGTTGCTATAGAATCGGCATAGTTAGGCCTCTTTGTTGGCGCCTGTTCCCCTACTTCAGTTATCCTCTTGCTTTGTTTGTATTTATGTTTACTTATTTACCCTCCTGGTTACGCAATAAAGTAAATCAGTAAATTTGATTTACCAATAACACCTTGGTTTTATGTTGCTTCCCTTTTCCCCTAGCTGGGTCATAACAAAGACTGTGCCAATACGGTGACTGGGAGCACAGTGCCATGACTACATATACGGACACAAGAAAAAAACCAACATGGCTGCAATGAACTGAAACCTGGCTCTGTGAAGCAGTCCACAGTCAGTAAGAGAAATACTTGGTGAGTAAAATTTCCTGAGCTGTTTTGTATCTTCTTTGCTTGCAGAAATCATGTGCCTGGTACTGGATGTGAGTCCACACAGCGTCGGAGGTTTTATTTTCTCAGCAAAGTTATTCCACAAAGGGTTTATATTCTTGATGCTTCCTGTGAACAGTTT